TCAATAAAAATAAACTATATAAATAAATATATTAATTGTTATTTAAATTGATATAAAATATTTAGAAAAAGAAAATTTATTTTATTTATTTATAAAATTAATTAAAAAATTAAATTATTTTTAACAAATTTTAAAAATACAAAAAGTGAAAAATAAAAAAAGAATAATACATTATTGATTTAAGATAGTAAAAACATTAAATAATAAAATATAAATAGAAAAAAATTATAGAATATGAATTATGAAAAGAAAAATATTTTAAAAAATTTATATTTGATTATTTGAATTTAAATATAAAATCTAGGACGAACATGAAAAGATCAATCATATGAATTTAATTTTCACTTCAGTTTGCATTTTCTTCTTAAACAAAAATGTCACTGATTTGAGCCTTTAAAGTTTCTCTTTAATTTTTATTATTAGGCATCATTGTCAAGTGATACATCAACGGTCACCGCATCCAATTGTTTGACTATATTTACGAACAATATTTTTAATAAATTACATTTTTTATCTTTTATCTATTTTAAAAACTCATAGTTCCTCAATTTCGTGTTTCGTTGGACTGAATCTCATATTTTCCTAAAAGTTGATTTTTAACTTTGAAATATACTAACAAAAAGTCAAGGTACGAAGAAAAATGAAAAAACGCGTAAAAGAAATTCATGAAAATCAAGAAGGTATAACATGTTTACACTATTTCTTGAATCCAATGCTAAGAATAGAGAAAAATAAAAACATCACATTAGTCTCGAAAAGAAAGAGGATCCAACTACGGTCAATTTATAAAAGATGATAACCACATGTTTTTCTCACCTTCTTTCTCTTATTATAATGTTTTTTTCTTCCTAATTATAATAATAAATAAAAGTATTAAAAATAAATAAATTTATTTAATTTTTATTATTTTTCTCTCTTTTTTCTTTAACGCTTATTGGTTGGTACTACACCAAAAATAAATAAAAAAAACCATGGGAACAATGATATCTTTTTAAAAAAATTAACTAAATTACTTATGAATAAAATTAAATATTTTATTATGGATCTTAAAATTGAGTTATTTAAAATATTATTAGAGTTGTTTATCTAATTTTTTTTTATTTTAAACAATTTTCTCCATTTTTAAGGACATCTCTAATAAAAAATTTTAACTGAAATTGGTTAATAATAAAATTAAATATTTTAGTCAGAGTTACTTTTTCAAGTAACTTTCTTTTAATTTTAAATACTTTTTTTCAATAATATCAAATCTACAATAAAATATTTATTTTTATTCTTAAATTATTTGATTCTAATCATAAAGGAAATCGGGTATTTTAAAAAGAAACACGCACCGTGAATTTTTTTGTAAAGAAAACAAAAGTGCAAATCTTTATATAAAACATTTTTGTTAGGAATAAGTAAATTATTGGCTGATATTTGATTTTAAGGAGTCTTTCATTTTAGAATAAGAATAACTTGATTTTATATATATGATGTAATAATATTGTTACGATGAATTTAGTTTAAGATATTATCTGATTTATAACATATGATTTTATTTTTAAAAGACTTATCCTATCTCACGGAACGTGAGAATCATGAGATGGATAAAGAGGAAATGAAGAAAAAGAAAAGAAAATTGATTGAATGTTTGGGTTCTTGGGATGTTGGCCTTGACTTGTTTGTCCTCCTCGAGTTCCAAATTCCCTCGCAGAGCAATGGAGATTAGGCTCGACAAACTATAGATTTGACATTAACAGATAATTTTAGTTTAGTATTTAAATAAGCATGAAAAATAGTTGCAAGATGTCTGATAAACAGGAAGCGAGCATGGCATTGCCGGCAACGAGTGTGAAGAGGATCTGCGAAACAGTAATCTAATCTATGCATGCTTCCGAGATAGGCAATCGTAATGGTCAGATTCTCCATCGCATTCTCTCTCTTCTCTTGTTTCGTTCAAACCATCCACAATGCAACATCATCAAAGTCAAACGCCATCTCTTCCTTCAATTTCTCTCAATCTCTATTGCATCTGTCTAAGACAAAACTCGGTGTACGTGATTGATTTCGTTTATATTTTTTTTTTTCTTAATTTAAAAAAACAAAATCATGATATGATGAGAAACATGAGATGGGCAGGTAGAATAATCAACAACAATTTAATACATTTAAAGCAGATCCGTTGTATCAAATCTAACGTCAAGTTTATACCTTCAAAATCAATGAATTCGTTTGGCTTTAGATTCGAAATGAGTGTATTTTCCTACTAACTCTTATTTTTTATGTGGAAGAGAGTGACGATGGTTATAGGAAGGGAACAAGATATGTTTAAGTGAAGAACTGAGTATGCATACAAACAGTGCCAGTATATTTAATAAATACATGGAATAGAAAGGGGTTCTTTTCTTTTGGGCTTCAAATTGGGCCCTCCACCCTATAAGGCATTTTTCAATGGTTGGGTTCGGACAAAATAACCCATTGGACCTATTAATTCTGCAAACCTCCAACAACAATCCCTTGAATTTTAAAATACAATTTGATAGTAATAATCAAAAACATAAATTTCCCCTCGTGTCATGTTTAATTTAAAAAATATAATTTAATGGTAATAATTAAGTTTAAATAATAATATTTGAAATGAATCGAAAATTAAAAACACAAATTATAATATATTATTAGTTAGATAAGTTAATGAGACTTGACATCTTCTTAAACAGTTGGTTAAAACCAGGGAGTAATCAAAATTATAATATAAAATAAGTTATAGATTACGTGAGGTTTTAGTCTCTCATTTTTTTTTTCATCTAACTAGTTTTTTATTTTTAAAATTAAGCAAATTTGGGTTTCATCCAATTTCTATACCAAATTTTTTTATTCAAAGTTGGGTGAATTTGTAATATTATACAATTGTAAATGTTAGAAAGAAGAGTTTGGTGAGAACTTTGAAACATTGAAAGATTTTATAAGACGTTACGTGTGTGAGTTATGAGATATGGGTTTGAAAAGGTCATACAAATGAAACTCCATGAATGAAGTTGTAAAATGGGCATGACCTGGTGGTGGGGCAACGTTTAGGAACAGCAGAAGTGGGAATTCTCCAGCTTCAGCTTCCATAGGAGTGACGATGAGGAGAGATTTTGGTGGTCCAACTTCTTATGTTTCGATCCTTTGAAAACATACATTCATGCATGCTCAACTTTTGTTTCTTCATTGCATGCGTGTTATCTACTTCAACTTTAGTTTCTTCATTGGTTTCCTGTTTCCTGCAAAAATCTGAAAGCTTTCCAATTCTTCTCAAGACTGGGAAAAATGTGAGGAGCCTCTTGAAAAATAATAGTTAGCATGCACGAAGAAAAGCAAGAGTGCATCGTGTCTTTCCTCCTCTGAGACAGACGGATCGCATAGCATGCACGAAGCAAGACGTGACGTGACATATAACTGATTTTTTTGTTTGATTGAGTTGGCAAAAGCTCTCTATTTTATCTTCTAAAAATAAAATAAAAAATATATATGCATGAGAAGAAAAGGGAAAAAAAGGAATTGGCGAAGAAACAGCCAGATGAGAAGTTACAATAACTGTCGGGAGGGGTGTGTGTGGGTGGATAGATAAGGCAGTGGGAGTCGATTGGAAAAGGTTTTGGTTGAATTGAGGTATGAAGGAGGAATCTGATCGCGGTGAAGAAGCCACTTCTTCTTCCTGTGTGGGGAAGAAGCGGAGCAGATCAATAGCGTCAATGGATGAGGAAGGGTGGAAGGGGAAGAGATCCTCCGAGCCACGTCCGTGCACGGAGTGCGGCAAGAAGTTCTGGTCTTGGAAGGCACTCTTCGGCCACATGCGATGCCACCCTGAGCGTCAGTGGAGAGGGATCAACCCTCCCCCCAACGTAAGAAGACAGCAACAGCAACAGCAGCAACAACATCAACAGATGACCATGATAATGACCCAAGAAGACCACGAGGTCGCTGCCTGTTTGCTTCTGCTTGCCAATTCCAACAAAGAGAGGGACAAAGAGAAAGAGGAAGATGTTCATCAGTGGCAGTTCGAATGCTCGAGTTGCAGCAGGGTGTTCGGATCGCACCAGGCTCTTGGAGGGCACCGTGCGAGTCACAAGAACGTGAAGGGGTGTTTTGCCAACACAAGTAATGTAGGCGTAGGCTTAGGCATAGGAAGCAGCAGCAACAACAAGTGCGATGAGGAGAACATGAGTGGTGACGGGCACAGGTGCAGCATATGCCTTAGGGTATTCTCCACAGGGCAGGCACTGGGCGGGCACAAGAGGTGTCATTGGGAGAATCAGAAAGGGGACAACCTCCTCCTTCTTGACTCACCACCTAAGTCCTCCGTCCACTTGAATTCCCCTCCCCCCATCCCCTCTCCTCCCCTCACTCTCGATTTGAGGTTGCGACTCTAGTCTCTTTTCTCTCCTCCCCTCCTACTCCACATTATCAATTAGGTATACTATACTCATCCATCAACACTCTTCTTGTACCCATTACTTATAAATTATTTGCTATGTATACATAAACTTTGGATGTTATTTTCTTCACCCTCCCTTAGCTATACCTGCTTTCCAATTTATATATGCATTACGTTCTTTCACTGTGCCACTAAATTTAAGCATGTTCTGTCATTGTTTTGATGCACATTATGCTTCTTGTGCTGCGCATGCAAAGAACAGCAGCTTGTCACTTTTTCTTTCTTGGGAGTAAATGATGTTTTTATTGTAGGAATAACTTGTCGGGAAGAACATCCAATTATATCATATATTATTAACAAAACCAAAGCTGTGATTTTCTTTACAATTATGTCGTGTGTGTGTATATATATATCCTTTTATCTTTAATAGTACGCACTTACAATGCAAAATACGAATCTTCTGATATATAGAACATTAAAACCATAATATTATCCATTGAAGATTTGAATGAAACTTTCCTCTTGGCATAGTCGTCATTTATGGTTTGGATGAAAGTGTGACATGATTATTGGATACTTGAGAAGTTGGTATGCTTATCTTTCAAGCAGGCTTCAGGGTAGGGATGAAGTGGGGTTGGACAGCTTCCCTAAGAGTCGTCCTTTTAAGTAATAGCTCTAGATTCTAAAAGATAAAAAAATATGCCAGCCATAAAATAAATCAAAACCAAGACAATTTATAAATAGTTTAACTTAAACTTACGATAGACTTCTCAAATGGATCAATGGAATGACCAAATATTGTCTGTTTGATTATATTTATTAGAAAATTTAAATTTTAATATAGCTTCATTTCTCATTTAATAACTTTTTATTATATACTTTTGGTAAATTTTACTGAATATTAATATGTAATAGAAAATTTACATTAAGAATAACATTCTTCTTATTTTAAGTATTATATTTATAATATTTAATTCAAAAGGTATAATGACCTATCAAATTACTTACTTCTAGGAATCTAATATTTACATGATTAATAATTCTAAAAATACTATTACTCGCTTCAATTTCACTAAATCTCGTATAATTACTAAAATTAACATTCAACCATAATTCACCAGTAGATCTTAAGAAGTTTTAAATTAACATTCAACCACAATCCCTTAGTTTATATGATTTTTGATTGGGAGATTGTGACAATTCTAACAAATGTCTGAGTGCTTTCGAAGGTCGTCATGATGGGAGATTCTATAGTGTATGATGGGCAGAGCATTCTTTCGTGTGTATACATATATATGCATATATATACACAACAAATAGAATATAAAATACTTTCAGAATAATGATAATATATGGAAAGTAACTTTTATACCTTATTTTATCGTCTGTATTCAAGAATGATATCTTTGTATCATTTAATTATAAAATATTTAAACAATCAAATGATATTTTATTTTGTTCTATTCCATTATGATCCGATACATACTATTCCCTCTATCAACAGAAACTAATTTTCAGAATATCAATCCAAACTTAAGCTAACAGAAGTTTCTTGAGCCATCACTAGGCTCAAAGGAAAATTACACGTATAATATAGTAAGGAGGGAGACAGATGGCAAGTATATAAGTGATAATGGACTATCAACCGGGAAAGATGCAGTGGAGATAAGTTGCAATACGTGTAGTGATCAACCAATGCGACCTACCAGATTAGAGGCCTTCGGTGGTTGCCAAAGAAAACGAAAATGACTACTTCACCTCACAGGATAGCGCTTAGCACTGGGTGAAAGATGTTGGATTTTGTTATCCCAGTCCCAGGAACTGGGCGGAGGCGTGGTCACTCACATTTCCTGGGAAGAATTATGAGCTAAATGTTCGGGAAGTAAGAAATTTCAGCCGTGAGGCTTTGGTTTAAATTCACATCAGATGTCATGTTATTTCTGATCAATGTTATTTGCTAAATAATCTATAAAGTACCAAATGTCAAAGGCACCGAAACGAATTTAAATCCCTGTTCCTAAAAAATGACAGGGGAGCTGTTTTGTAATTTAAAATGAAATCATAAAGTGGTCTCACATGACTCCTTTTGTAACCTTCCTACATCTCAAATCTCAAATGACAACCCTGAGCTCTCCAGTTTGCAGCGCATATTTGCGGTGCTGGGACAAGATGGGTGCCACCTGAACTTCCTTTAGTATTGATGCTAGGTCTTTACATGTGGGTTCCTTGTCTTGATTAGATGCATGCATAATTGTTTGCAATATTTGCAAGGGATCTCCGTGGCTGACAACCAAAATTGCACATCTGCAAGATGTTGACAGAATTATATTAGCAATCAATAAAAGAATACCAAAATATACTTAAGGCAATAAGAACATCTCCCTTTTGTTTTAGGACAAGAATAATATTTTGTATAACACAGATAAAAGAACTGCTACGTACCTGGTTGTTTTGACATTAGTAAATCAGTTCACACTTGACGATATAAGAGTTCAAAATTAGTTCTAGCGAAATCAATTTGCTTAACTTCAAAACAAATGGGGCAATATGCCAGATCAAATGTCATAACAGAAATTAAGTTTTCTAAATTCTGAATGCAGCTCATTTTAAAGTTAGTGTTTTCGCGTCTAGAAAAACTGCAGGTCTCCAATAGATTTGTTGCACACATTCATGCTAGAAAAATATCATGCCAAAAGACTTCCTAGTGGTATTTAAGACAGAAATAACTACCCTTCAAATTTTGATTCAATAGTGGCTATTGCTCTTGCGAGTCGACCCGCAACATCCTTGACACTTTCACCTCCTTCTGGCCCAACAAGTGGATCTTTCTCATCTAGATTCCAAATCTCTTCGTACTGTTGATGAATGGAAAGAGGAAATCAATGAGTTGCAAACTACAGTCGGTTTGAGAATACTTATATGCACCAACGATAGACTTATTTAGAACCTGACTAATGTTCCAAGGATACAGGATTTCTATAACTAAAAATGATGCAGAGAATAGATAAAAGGCCGTTCTAACAATCTGTTATATAAATTACGGCGAATCGCAAAAACAGTTGGCAGCTGAAGAAACTGACATTGAGCATGCCTTACTTTATCATGCGACAAAAGTTCAAACGAAGGGCCAAAATAGCGTTCACGAAGATCTTCGATCACCTGCTAGGTAAAAGAGACTTAATTGATGAGGCAAAATAATAGATAAATAGGTTAACATATACAGGTATACGAAATATATAAAAATTCAAGGGTAAACAGGGAAGGGTAATTTGTGGATGAATGAAAAGGGAAGTGCAGAATGTGGATAGACAAAAGTAGAGTACTGGAAAGAAAAGTTGTTGCAGTTGTTGTGTGGTGGTTGAGATGTTCTGGCTTACCATACACTGGGGACCATCTAAAGGAAGATTGAAGAAGGTAGCAACAACATTTGCAGTGTGTCTTGTTCTTGAAAATGGAGAATAGCAAATGCGTATATCAGCAAGTGGTATATTTTTAGCCTCTAGTTCCTGGGAAGAGTCCGATGATAGAATTAAATTCAAGTTAGGGTATGTAGAGAAAACGGTGGCGCAGTTAATTGAAACTGGCGTGGTTTTGGAGATGAAACGCCAGCAATTGCGGATGTTGAGTTGAATAAGGGGGGAAGATTTGGGAGAAATAGTAAAAGGAGGATGAAATGGTAGATAGATACCTTTTGGAATAATTGTGCAGCTAGTTGGGCCTGATGAACACCGTCGGAGGCCAATTGGAATTCGGGGCGAGTCCCATTTTCCTGCGATTGGATGGCATGAACAATTAAGAAAATGATGGATAGGATAGGATAGGGTTTAAAAGGAATGGAAAAAACCATGGAGGAAACGATGAGGCCTCGCTCGTTGGGAATGCTCTTGCCATGCCTCAGAACCCAGTACCTGTTCTTCGCAATCCACATTTCAGATTCTTTCCCTGACTCTAATTCTAATACTACCATTTAAGGGCATATCCAATAATAATCGAGATGATTTATCATACTGTGTGTGACATCTTATATTTAAATAATTAATATTTTTTTTTAATTTTAAAAAAATATTCTCTTTCCGTATACTTTTTTTATATATATATAATTTAACAAAGTAATTAAAAAAATTAAACAATTTACTATGTCATTTTAAGATTTCCTTTTTAAAAAATTGATTTAAGCTTTTACTTAAACATTAAACATTGTTATTTTATTTTTAGAATAAAATATGTAAATAATGTAATAATAAATAAATAAATAAATAAAACCTTTATTTATGTTGGTGTATTTGTGTAAGAAAGAGGGGGGCATGAAGGGAAATTGCAAAGAGGACCTTCGGTTTGACTGTCGTTGATAATCTGGTTTGGGCGTCTTTGTGGAGCTGGGGTGGGGGAGGTGCAGAGAGAGAGATCGGATCAGAGAGGAGAGAGATGGGGGTAAGAAGTACAGTGAGAAGGTCAATGTCAGTGGTGCAGGCGGCGATGAAGGAAATTAGACGGAGCGTGACGTACATGCCTCGACCCGGGGACGGAGCGCCGCGGGGGGTGACGCTGATACCGGGGGATGGAATTGGGCCTCTGGTGACGAACGCGGTGGAGCAGGTGATGGAAGCCATGCACGCCCCCATTTACTTCGAGAAGTACGAGGTGCACGGGGACATGAGGCGTGTGCCGGAGGAGGTGCTGGATTCGATTCGGAAGAACAAGGTGTGCTTGAAGGGTGGTTTGAGGACTCCGGTGGGTGGGGGAGTCAGCTCCCTCAACGTTCAGCTCAGAAAGGACCTCGATCTCTACGCTTCCCTTGTCAATTGCTTCAACCTCCCCGGCTTGCCCACCCGCCACCACAACGTCGACATCGTCGTCATTCGTGAGAATACGGAGGGCGAATACGCAGGTCTCGAGCACGAGGTCGTTCCCGGCGTCGTCGAGAGCCTCAAGGTTACACTTCTTTCTAACGACTCTTTCAATTTACTAAATCTATTCTAACCTCCTCTCTCTCCTCAATCACTCAATCACTCAGGTTATGTCCAAGTTCTGCTCCGAACGTATTGCAAAATATGCCTTCGAGTATGCATACCTAAACAACAGGAAGAAAGTCACCGCCGTTCATAAAGCCAACATCATGAAACTCGCTGACGGTCTCTTCCTAGAATCTTGCCGACAAGTTGCAACCAAATATCCTGGTATCAAGTACAACGAGATTATCGTTGATAATTGCTGTATGCAACTTGTCTCCAAACCCGAGCAGTTCGACGTTATGGTTAGTTTATTCGCTCCTGCTACTCCCTGCAATTGTCCAAATCAATACAACTATTGTTAGAGCTACCCAACTAAATCTTTTCCATTTTAACTTGACATCTCTTGTACCCATCTCATTCATGATCTCAGGTCACTCCTAATCTGTATGGAAATCTAGTGGCTAATACGGCAGCTGGAATCGCCGGAGGCACTGGTGTCATGCCTGGAGGTAATTGAATATTTTCAATGACAATTAATATTAATATGGTAAGAGAAAGAAAAAGCCACAAATGAACGAATGAATGAATGATTTATATAAAAAAATTGTGATACTGCACTGCAGGAAACGTAGGGGCTGATCATGCAGTGTTTGAGCAAGGTGCTTCTGCTGGAAATGTGGGAAAGGAAAAGATGGTGGAGCAGAAAACGGCAAATCCTGTTGCGCTGTTTCTCTCCTCCGCCATGATGCTGAGGCATCTTCAGTTTCCTTCATTTGCTGACCGCCTTGAGACTGCTGTGAAGCGCGTGATTTCAGAGGGGAAGTACATGACTAAAGATCTGGGTGGAGACAGCACTACACAGCAGGTTGTTGACGCTGTCATTGCCAACCTCGACTAGACCATGTCCATCCGTCACCTTCCTCCCTTCCCTCTGTACAACAACATTTCCTTTCCTATACCAATTCACTTTCGGTATGTCTGTAATAAAAGTTAATTTATTTATTTTTCTATTTTTCAGCATGGTTGAGGGTTAACTCTCTTCCCCACCCTACTATATCCCTGGAAGAATAATTCGGCTTAATTTAGCTAGCCTAATATTTCTATTTGTCATGTAAGAATGATTTGCCCAACCAAAAGATGTGCATTTTTTGGTTACACTTGTACTTTTGTTGTTCTCATTTATTGATTCCGGTCAATTTGTCTGTGCACTAACTTTTGTATCCCGGAGGTTAAGTTCAAGCTTTGAAAGAATATTGGATTAACATTCGTTGAAAAATCAAGAAAATCGCGTTTTGACACCGATGCGTTAAGTCTCAAAAGTTTCATGACTTTGATTCCACCCAATGAAATTCGTCACTTGTCACCCTCTCAAATGTCAAATGGAGAGAATAATATGGATTATCCTAGTCCGGACAACTATACTTTCAACAAAATAAGAACAAATGCGATATGTGCTTAGATAGTGAAAATTATGCAGACAGTCTTTTTTTTTACTGCACATCTCCATGATTGAACTCAGCTGAAGCCGGGATATCTGCTTCTCTATATAATATTTGACAAAAATAAGGCGGTACCTAGCGTGCGATTTGGTTTTGGCCGTGGAAAATACTGAATTGAACCATTTTCCTATACACTGTAACAGAGAGTTGTAATATATATGACTAATTTCATCGCGAGAACCTAGAAAGTGCTTCTACAATTACCTATTCTTTACACAAAATCCCAAGTTACAATTTAACATCTAAACATAATATCCGAAGAGAAATTCGTCTTCAAAATGTCACTTATTGTGTTTCATCCATATCCTCCAGCTTAAGACTCATGAGACCACCTGCAAACATGAGTTACAATATCAAGATAAAGTAGAATGAATATCCATCCAGAATGTTAAGATCAATATCACAAAGTATCAATGTAAAAATATTCAATTTATAAAATAGAAATTGTTTTCCTCAATATCTGATTAAAGCTAGAAAGCAGGTTGTAGTTCACCAATAAAACTCACAAAGAAGCAAAATTTAACTCTTTAATAAATGGGCACACTGCCATGATCGTGCCGTCTAAAAATCTTTGCTCTTTCTGGCGACATTGTGCAACGGGACAATAGCCTATATAGACATCCTCGTACATGTTCCGAATTACTGTCAAAATCATTTTCAATTAGATCAAAAGACATCTTGAAATTTCCAAATTGAAGATTAACTAATGCTCTATTTGATAGAGAAAAAAGGAAATATAAATAGAAAAGAAAAGAAAGTAAAAGAAATATATAAGAAATAAGTGAAAAGATACGTTATATAAGTAGAAATAACTAAATGAAAAGAGAGGTTGTTCTATTTTTTATTATTATTTTTTTTTTAGTATTCATTACTATTACAATAAAAAGGAAAAAAAATATGTATCACACAACTATTCACACAAACAACCCATCAAACATCTGTATTTTATATTATAATAATAATTTTTTTTATTAAATCTCTTTCATAGTTATTATATATGAGTTGTTTTCTTAAAAGGTTGTCAATATATTATGATTAAAAAAAAAAATAGACCCATAATCAATTATGGTCTAAAAATAGCACTCGTGAGTGTAAATTTAAGCAACATAATAGATTTTCCGGTGTTCTGGGTGGAAAAGTTCTATCTTTTTTTCACGTTTCAGCGTAGAAAGCCAGTTGTGGGACCCATTACCTTTGTCTTTCTTTTCTTCATACTTCACTCCAACCAAACCACTAATTTCTCCTCTCTTCCTTCCACCCCTTCCCACTTCCACGGTACCAAACGAAGCCTAAGGATCATAGAATATAACACGAAAAAGCCTTATCCCATTAGTTAGTTGAATGGTTTCACCAAGGGTCTTCCCTTCACATCCCTCAAATGAACTGTGCTCTGAGTGATTCACACGAACAAACCCCATATTTAAGTCTCTATCTCTTCATGTGTTAATGCTACTCCTACTTTCTCTTGAATAAGAATTCCTGATGTTATGGTTTCCTGTATGTCTACTAATCCACCACAACATCCCTCTTTCTACAACACTAGTTCTTGTTGGTCCAATCACCGAGTACACCATTGGCCTTATAGCTTTCTGGTCATATTGTAATCGCAAATCAAGCTTATTGCCTAAAGCATTTCTATTTCATCTGATCATCTTAAACCCAATGTGTATACTCTTCAACCTCTGCAACTTCTCATAACTTTGTAAGCTAGATCCAATAATCTTGAACCACACAACTTGTGGTACGGTGAAGTCCCCAACTTTCACCCCAAAACATTACTAGCTTGCTCACACCTTCTTGTACTAGCATTTAATAAACTCCATCAAGGAGGATTTTTCTAGAAATAATATTTTAGTGTTTGGTGCACCTAATATAGCCGGTAAATAGATAAACACAACCAAGGACAAAAAGGTAAAATAAACACAATGTTATTTTCATAATTCAAGAGAAAAAAAACCCAAAAATGATTTGCAGAAGAGACATTTCACTCGATCAAAAAGACGAGACATGTTAGGAATTGTAGAAATAGACACTGACCTCTACAATTTGTAAATCCCTGTGTAGAAACCACCAAGGACCATTCTTTGATAGACATCTGAAAATGAAAAAAAGCACAAAGGATTCAACCAAAAAGTAAAACCAAAAAAAAAAAAAAAAGGAAAATGAAAGCATAGTCAGACAATTCAATAATGGAGCCAAACTATCCAGCATCAGTAAATCTACTGAAAGGACAGGTTGATTCACCCAAATACTTTAGAATTTCACTTGAAGATTTGATAAGTCATGTAAAAATGTGAAATGTAGACATTGGTTTTCGAACAGTATTTTAACAAATGAAATTAAAGCCATGCCACTTATACACCATTCGACAATGAAACTACAATAGTATAGTATGCTCAAATATGCATGCTTCTTTCATTTAAATACCATCAGATCAATAGGTTGTTAGCGCAAGATATTGGAAAATATTCTAATCAAAGACGGATAAGTAGTAGCGTGAAAATTAAAGTAGAGCCATCTAGCCATATACAATGACTGAGAAACCTATTTTTATTTTAACAAGATAGGAATAGCATGCAACCTTTCTTCCCAATACACAGATACAACATTAACGTTGCCATTATACCTGAGAGCACCAGCTGCCGCACGAAGAGCCATGAAGAGAACTAGGCCTAGCCATACGCCCTGGAGGCCCAAAAGTGGAGGTGCAAATACCAAGAATGCACAAGAGACTGCTCCCACAAACATCTACGACGCAATATAAAAAATTGAACCTCGAGAAGCATATGTACCACGAAAGAAACATCGCAACAAATTTACAAAAGTACAACTTACCATGGATAAAGCAGCATATCGGAAATCAGAAACACCGTAATGGAGACCGTCAAAAATATATGCCAGTGCATTAAATGGTTGAGAAAAACTGACAAACTAGCAACAATAATAGATAACAGTGTAATTACGAGGCAGACACAAATAAATGTAAACAGATACTGACAAATCCATCAGCAGCAACACACTTACCAACACCAATGATCTGACCACCTGCAAGACTTCAGAGTCCTGAGTAAAAACGGTAGCTAAAGATCCAAACGATGCACCCAAAATTGCAGTCAAGCAAATACCCATTACCAGTCCAATCTGGGAATTCATAATCAGGTTCTCAATTTATTCATAAATCTTCCTTATATGACAGTTAAACAACTATAGCTAACATAAAATCTGAAAATAACTAATCAATGAAAGGCATTAAAGGCTCAAAATTCAATGGATAAAAAAATTAACTCTTACCCTTAACACAAAACTAGTAATCTCCTTCACAACTTTGTATTCACGTCTGGATACAGAACTTGCAATAAGAGCCTATAAATAATAATACAGACGTATAAGAAAGTAGCGAACTTAACATAATTGAAGACGTTAACATTGAGAAGATGGAAATAAGAAATAATTTTAAAATATTTTAAGATCCACTGTATTATTTCTTACCTATTTCTACTATCTATATCTTCTCATCAACCAAACGCCTTAATTTTCTATTTTATTTCTAATCTATTTCAACTCTAGTGACTTATTTCCCTCCAACCTATCCTTTCCACTCTATACAAACAAAGGGTATGAGTAATGACTACAGCAGAATTATGTTGGCTTAATTTGTGTCATTATAGTCTAGTTTTGTTGGCTTAACTTGATTCATTGCAAGACAGCATACTAGATCAAAAGAAATTTAAGAAGTCATATCGCAAGGAGGAAAATATTAAAAAGATAAAATTATAAAAGAAATATGCAAGATTTTATGATGGATCATTCATTACCTGACCAGATGCAGCCAACGCATCAGTAAGAAGGGAAACAGCCAACCACACTTGCATACATATCTGATGTGCAGCCATAGCTACTGGACCATGTCGAGCAGCCATTGATGTCCCCAATGTAATGGTTGAAAGAACAGCAAGTGTTCTTCCAAGAAGGAAACCACCTGTAGGAACCCACACATCATAACTATAACGACTAGATTAACCTAACAGAAAGCTAAATAATAATATACAGATAAACAATCATAAATTAATAATCTTTCTAAAACAATACTTCTGGTCCCAACTGGGGTCAATTTACAAAATTAGCAATTTTGACAAATTAATTAGACAAAATCTTGGGAAGAGCCATATATAAGTTTTTAACATTATAAACTCACAGTCAATAAAATTAAACCATTCCAAGCACACACTTGTTCTGTGGGTGTTATTTCCTTTAAATAGAAAAATTACAAACAGAAACAGGGAAAAAATGAAGGTGGGTTCTTTTTGCTTGGAAAGTGTTTTGGAAACAGTGTTTGATATTGCATTTACTTTCTAGTAGTTATCTTCCCTTTTTTTCCCTACTTTTTCAAGGAAGATAAAGTCATTTTAAGATGAGAGTGAACCACATTCTCTCATCTCAGGTTTTAGCAACACATAATAAAACAGAGACCCCCAAGAACTACACAAATCCTCACCAGATTTAATATAACTTGCAAATTGCAGGTCTCCCATCTTTGGAGGTAGTAACTCAGCTCGCTCATTCAGACACCAGATCATCAACATGGTCCCAATATATCTTGGTATTAAAATTCCGTCGTAATCAGGATTAAATCAAGTCAAGAAATAGAAGGGAAAAAAAATCCTTTTGAAAAGGACTTACTGAGAGATAACTGTGGAAAGGGCTGCCCCAGCGACACCCAACCGAAAGTAATACATAAGTAAGGGAAATAAGAAGACAGCTGAAAAGTTGCCTATGCCTGCATTTTCATCGAGAAATTAGCATAAAATTACATACAACAATATAATGAAAATTATTTTAACCATTTAATCAATCTTTGAAAGAAAGTAAAACAACAAGAACACTTGAGGTATCAAAATCTAAAATTATTTTTGAAGGGGGTGGGGAGATTATCATAAGAAAAACAGCAAGAGGAATATCCAACCTGAAAGCTGTAAGCATAATTTTCTGTTAGCATCGGTGATCTCAAAGCACTAAATTAAATAGAAGTTCTGTGATCCATAAAAAAATGTTCCAATTTGCTATTAGCTGCCAACTTTCCCAATAGATTATCATTAACCTCTTCTATGATAGAAAAGCTTATTTCGTTGTCACTCCTTAAACCTACACGCCAGGCATTTAGCAATAGGAAACAGTACATAATAAGGCCACAACACTGACCAAAAGCCCCGAACTCATGAGAAAATTCAAATTAATCAATTTCTCAACTCAAGAATCAGGACCTTGAGAGAGGCCTTCAAAAGGTTAAGACAATGTCAAATATCGAAAGACATTATTAGTGAAGCAAGAAATGGACGCAGTTATGAGAAATTTTATTTTTAGTTATTTATTTGAACTAGTTAAAATACTAATAATAATGTATTCATGAATTGCAAGTATAGTATGATCCTTTCAAAAGGTATTAGAGCACGTGCAGATAAATACAGGATTGAAAATGTGATATTAACAAAGAAACACACAAGCTTGAAGAGACAATCACTTGCCTAGACATATCACAGGAGTTTTTGTATCCTTAAAACCACGGAAAATGCCTTGAAGAGCCAAAGAAAGTACAACTGCAGGAGCACCAACAGCTCTTAAAGAAAGAAATTGTCGTGCAGGAGCATAAGTTGGATTTTGCTGTTGAAAAGAATTTATTCAAAAAGGAGATTACAACTCGTACTTTGTCAATATAGAAGAGTCATGCTATATAGACATAACCAGGAACAATAAATAAATGCCTAAAGTAGTGTATCAATGGTAAGGTGGAGTGTGTGTTGAGGCGAAAACATACTGTTGGTACACCAATTAAATGTAGAAATGTTCCAGATCCCAGGTACAAAGCAAAAGCCTCAAAAATGCCAAGGCCGAGTGCTAATAGCAAAGCAGTGGAGACAGAGGATAGCTGTTTTCTCTGGGGAACTGTTTTGAAAGGTTTACCATTGCCAGTATTTTCTGGATCACCCGGATCTGAAATGCAAATTAACGGCATTATATAATGATGTGAATGAATTCATTGAGCAATTTAGATGAAAATGTTGGAGAGGCGAAATGGACCTGAATCAGAACGTTGAGTAGAAGCAGTCTTGGCCATGTCCTCAGCGACAAAGGAAGTAGCAACGCTAAGAAGGGGAATATTAAAAAGCTTAGAAATGATGTTAAAGATGGATACGGAAACGCCGGCGGAAGCCAATTCGACAGTGCCTGTGAAAACAATAATACATAAGAGAGAGAAGGGGACGGAAAAAACAGTAGTAGATGAGGAATTGGGAGGGAAAGGTGCAAACCGAGTCGGCCAATGAAGGCGGTTTCCATCAACTGAGCCATGGGGTCAATTGCCTGACCGGCAAGGGCAGGCAGAGACAGCGATAGAAGCTCTCGTTTGGCGTCCACTTCCTCAGGTTTCTCATGTTGATCGAGTGGTAATTGACTGTGAAGAAGTTTAACCAATTGAAGATATTAGTAATGGGTGTTTGTTGTTGAAGGGAGGCGAATGCATACATAGGAAAAGAAGAAGAAGAAGAAGCGAACTTACACGGAGGGATTGGGGTGAAGCTGATGATCCTCGACATCGTGATGTTGTTGGTGTTGGAAGGTGAAGTGGTTGGGAGGGAGGGAAGAGGGTTTAGAACGAAGGGTTACCAGGGGCGAGGAGAGGCTTTGGGCTTTGCGCAGGAAGTGGGGGTCATAACCGTAACAGATATGGTTGCGCTTGAATTCGAAGGGTCTTCTTCTGTTAAAGCCATGATATCGAGAGACACAAGAAGAGGAAGTGAAATGGATAGCTTCCATGACCATCACCACCTGCAGCTGCAATTAGTTCAACACCGGAAACTTTGATTCAATCCATTACCATCGTCACATGCACATCAAAGTATCAATGGATATTAATAAATAATTAAATAATAATTATAAATTTATGAAACTCCGTCCACCTGCAATGCAGCCCACAGAATGTTTCGGTATTGCCGCCAGCCAACCTCTTCTTGTCTCACCGCTGTAGATATCCTTTCCACTGCACAAATCTCACATTCTCTCTCCCTCTGCAGTTTTTTCTAGATTTTACAAACATTTTATAATAAACTCTAACTGGTAGTACATGACAATTCTCTAACAATTTTTGTTTACATTCCACTCATCCCATTTTTTTCTGTTCTTTTTAAATTCATTTTTGTTCTTGTTATTATACTATTGGATCATTTTGTTCTCATAAAATTGGATAAATAAAATAGTTTAAACAAGTTAATGAAATAATTTTTATATGAACACCTTCTACCGTGTTATTTTTATACATTCTATATTTCTCTTCTAGCAGGGATATATATATACAACCGTTTTTAACCAAACATCTATTCTACATTTCTGTTTAATATTATAATACTAATAATTATTAATATGTTATTTTTTATTGTAATTATAACATTAAAAATGGTTCTCCAACATATATTTGATAAATCGCAGATGTCAATATAACATTTTATTTCCTTCGTTTTATCTCATTCTTTCCGTCCTATTGTGTTGATATACACTTCTGCAATACCTATCCCTAAAATAATGATCCAAATATTTCATGCCGAAGCGGGCCAGATCTTCTCATTTTGGCCCGTTACAATTCTAAAATAGAACGGTGAACTGATTAAGATGAACTATACGTACAATTCCTAATACTAAATAATTAGTCTGTCAATATATTTTATATAAATTTTTTAATTATTTTTAAATATATTTTTAATTATATAAATTTTTAATATTTTTATTTATTAATTAATATTTTTATTAGATAAAAAATATTATATTTATATATTTAAATACTTAAATATAATATAATTTATAATTTAGATTTAATTAATTAATATTTATAATTTAAATTATAATATCATAATATATTTACATTTTTTTATAATATAATAAAAAAAATCCATTATTTTTAATTATAATTATTTTTATTTTTATTTAAATTTAAATTTATAAATATTTTTTGAAAAAGTCAGACTATCTTACTAGGTTAAATAAGACCAACCAAAAACAAATTAATACAGGGAAACTACAACCAACCAATCCTGTAAATTTAACTACGTTTTTCATCCTTATCATTCTTTATTACTTACCTATCTTCTAAGAATTTCATTTTTCAATTTTTTTGTTATATATTTTTTTCAATCAACTAAATTAATAATTAATTAATGTTAATTTTTTCTATTAAATTTTTACAAATTATAATTATATATAATATTTTTTATAAAATTATAATCATATAATAATTTATTTGGTGATATATTAGTTTATTAATAATACATTTAATTATTTTGAAACTTTGAAATTTCAATTTTTTATTAACGTTATAACAGTAATTTATAAACATGATAAAAAAATCTAAAATTAAACTTAAATTCAAAATTTAATTATTTATTAAAAAATATTTAAATTCTATCCCATTCATCATAAAATAATTTTTTCTAATTAATTAAAAAATTATTCTTAATTTGAAAATATTTATCTCATTATAAAATAATTTAAAATATATCCTAATATTTATTTTATTCACAATAAATATATATATATATATATATATATATAAGCTTTTAATATTGAATACATGTATGCATATGATATGTATCCATGTAAGAATTACTCAAGTCAATATTTTCTATGTCATTAAGATAACATTATAAACATATATTAAGAAAATAATTTATATTAATATAAATATCATATACAAAATTACTTAAAATGAGTGTAAAATTATGTATATAAGTTTTTTTTAATTAATAAGCAACTTTATATATAAAATATATATTAAAAATACACATTTTTTTTAAATATTATTGTTTTGAATTTTCGTTGTCCTTGTGACATTAAAACAAGCTAATTTTTGTTGTGTTTGGCTAAAATAATTTTTTTTCATATGCATCCTTCAAATTTTAAAATTATTAGTTTTAATTTCTAAAATACATTTTAAGATAGATGAATAATGTTTATTTTAAGAATTTTAATTTTTTAGGTGACACGTTATATTGCATCACTAGTACATGTTCGAGACATAATTAATTTCCCCTTCAAAATAATTAATATTATATCCAAAATTATTAGATATATAGATTTTAATTTACTAATATGCTTTGTTAATTGTGTTCTAAACTATTATCTACACGAACTTAAAATAAATGCAGAGAGGTTTGTAAAAGGTTCCAAATTCTTGATTTTCACACTTCATCATCCTTTCCATCTTTTTCCATATATGTGATGCTTCTTCTTCGACTTCTTTCTATGGCACACATGCTAACTCCAATTTTTGTTTCGTAAAGAGGAATAAAACGCATGGAAGCATATGAAACACACGTGAAGAGTAGTAAAGAGCGACCATATTCTGTGATGGGATTGCCAAAATAAGTACTGATAAAGTTAAGCTGGAGAAAGAACAATTTGTGACTTAAATGTTCATCAATCAATGAGTGTCGTTGTTACTTGTTGGCAGTGCCCACGTATTACACAAGGAAATAACTGTTATCCCAACTCTCAAGAAAGACACTTTGTCTGAAAATGATCTCAAAACTAATACAAATGGGATCGAGGAATAAAAGGAAACAGCAATGGCCACCCACGTTTCTGTGACATAGAAGGATAAGGGAAAGAAGAAAGAGGTGATGAAGGGTGTAACAGAGTTGAGAGTTGTGAGTAGAAGAATTTGGCCCAACCCATTGTAACAAACAGTAATAGAGTTTTAATTTAGCGGAGCTTGAATTCCAAATTTACGTAGAAAATGGGGTGGTTGATTAGTTAGAGTGAGTGAGGCATCTAACAAACTTCTCATGCACTCCATATGTGGAGTTGAGCGATGGAATTGAAATTGCAATTGTGATTTGGTGAGAGAGTAAAATTTAGGATGAATTTGATTTGTCGAAATCAACGGTTCATAATATGTCATCTACGCAGACATAGGCGTTTTACGTGCGGTTCCCTCCTTTTCTGTTGAAAGGTCGTCTTCTCTCTAACTTCTTATTCTTCTCACACACTCACCCTGCTCTGCTCAAGGTCACAAAAACGCCGTCGTTGCCGCCAACGCGCTTCTTCTTCTCCTTCCTCCACCCAACCAAACCAATGCCAGCAGCGCATTGAATCGGTGAATTTGGGTGTAAGGTATGTAACGCTAACAATGTCCACGACAACAATAGAAAGAAAGAAGCATCTCACCACGCACGCAGACAAATCCAGAATAATCGGACTCCTCCTTGCGAGTGTCCTTCGAAGTCGTCTCCTCAACCGCACTCTCATCTCTGCCATCTCCGCTTCCCTTCTTCTCCTCTTCGCCCTTCTCTCTTTGTTCGTTCCTTCCCCGGTAAATGCAAAACCACTTCATTCCTTTTCCTTATATTTCACTTAATTAAAATCAATCATCCTTTCTTCACTCCGCTCCTTGGTGGTGTGTCTTAGACTCAGGATAATGCCCAAGTCAGATCAATGTTGGAAACATATCAGGATTCGGTGTTTCGGGTTCCGGTAAGCTATTACATGAAACGCAAACTCCATTCTGCATATTCATTTTACTCTGCTTATCCTTTTTGGCTTGTTTGGACTTATTAGGCGAGTGGAGGTAGTTGCAAGCATGATTTATGGAGTTCAACGCAATCACGCCTTTTCTTCGGTTGCAGTAACGCCGCTGATAATTTCTCAAGTAAAGCTGATCCTCGTCATCCCAACCAATCTATCAATTTAATTTTGGACTTCAAATTAAATCAAATTGTACGCCGGTTCTTCATTTGTGGTTTAATGAACGTGCAATTTGATTGCGAAAAATGCTTACTTTTTTGCACTTGCAGAGGCTAATGTCAAAACTCATCCACATCGATACTTGTTAATTTCCACCAGTGGAGGTTTAAATCAACAGAGAACAGGGGTAGGCTCTTTCACCAACTAACAACTAGACTATAATATCATATTATATATAGCATTAGTTTATATCACCTCATACGCACCCCTTTTAATCAAATGAAAATTAAAGGTAGAAAACGTATTCGAGTACTTCTTTCTGCATGCAACCAGCAGTATTGCCTGAACATTAATGGTTTTATATATATACGGGTTTTGTCTGGGCTACCCAGTGTGACGAGTGATGTAAGGAATGAAAGGATATACTGAGTCGAGTCATCTCATGGTGTTCAAATGCTGTTGTGATTGCAGATAATTGATGCTGTCGTGGCTGCTTATATTTTAAATGCTACTCTTATTGTTCCAGAGTTGGATCATACATCTTTCTGGAAAGACACCAGGTCTGACTTTGCGTTGCACTTGCACTTCTATCACTCTTCTCTCTATCATATCTGATAGTATTTTTTATTCGAAGCAAAATTATTCGTATTTTTCCACATCTTAATTTGTAATGTACTAGTGCTATTTTTTGCAGCAACTTCTCTGAACTATTTGATACACACTGGTTCATAACATTTCTGCGGAATGACGTGAGCATTGTAAAGCACCTTCCGAATTTGGAAGGGAAGTTCGTGGCTCCATATACGCTGCGTGTTCCAAGGAAATGCAGCCCCAAGTGCTACGAGGATCGTGTTTTACCCTTGCTGGTCAGGAAGCGAGTAAGTCTTATTTTAACATCTTCAGTTACAACAATAGTTTTTCAGCAAAATTATTTGCATGCCTTTCTCCAATTAAAATCTGGCCTTTAAGTATTACTCCTACGTTAATGTATTTGTGGTTCCAACATCTCTCATCCACCATTAATGTATTGTCCTCGTTTTTCCTCCCCTGTTTTGAGCCTAACTAGCTACGTCATCTGATGTTGAAAGTTGTATGCTCTTTTGTGTTTGTTCTTTAGGTTATTATAGGTTTCTTTCGTAGAGCGTAGTCTTGCTAACGTTATAGCTTCCGTGTATGCATTCAATATTATAAAATTGTGAAATTGATTGTTTTATGAACTTTTTCTCTTAAAGAACTGAAATCTTTTGTGATGGTAGACGAAATTTCCGGGGAGGGGTTCGGTTCTGTTAAGAATGGTAGAACCATAATTTAATTAAAAAAAATAGATTGATTAAGAGTCTCTCTAACTTTTGATTAGATCTATTTACTATTTTAAAAATATATATTAATTAATGTAAAAATTAAATAAACTAAATAATAGTTATATTACTATTAATATTGATATTAATTAATGGGTTGAATTGAATATGTCTGGAGATTGAATTAAATTATATTGTTTAGTGAACCAATCTAATAAATATTACAATATTGTATGGTAAAGCTTTAATTAAAATATTTTATTATCAACTAGTGCATGTTTGGTTGGTTACATATGTCTTTTAAAAAAAAACGAGATGAAAAAAAAATATATATATATATATATATATATATATATATTTTAAATAATTTAGTTTAAACATGTGGACTGTTTTAATGAATGTTGCGTGACTTTTAGCAGTTGAACTAGGGCATGAAACATTCATAATATTATTTTTAAATTCATAAAAAAAATACGAACTCAACAATATTTAAGTTAAAATATAATAATGATATGTAATTAGTTTTGATTAGATACAAATTAAATTATAAAAACATGAATAATTTATTAAAAATTATAGTTAAATTTTAAAAGACTAAATGTTAAGAATGATATATTACTTTTTAAAAGAGTTTATTGAAATGTTATATTTACTTTTAAGTAAGATTTTTCTGTTTGAATTAATATATAGATATAAAGTACTTGAACATATAAACGGTATTTGATATAATGTGAATATAATTATATATAAAAAGTATTTTACTGAACAAATAAATAAGGAATAAGAAAAAAAAATTCCTATGAAAAGTCATTTGTGTAATAGGGAAACAAATACAAAAGATTATCGAATTCCCGTTGAGAGTGACGTTAATGTTAGTTGCATTATAATATTTTGAGAACCCAATTTTATACAACTTTCAAACACAACCCATTTTTAATATTATAATAATAATTTTAATTTATTTTTATTAAATCTCTTTATCATTATTATATTAATAAAAAAGGTTATAAAAAGAGTTGTTTGGATTGGAAAATGTCATATTTGCTCTTATATAAAATGTAATTATAGTTTTCTCCTTGGGATAAGTTAAGATAATCTTAAATCTAATTTAATTAATTATATTTTAGCAGGTGAAATCGATTCAATATATATATTAAGAAACAGAAATTAGAAAATAATTTGAGGATATTTTGATTTTGATTTATTTATTTTAAATAATAAAATTCATGAATACACAACTCAAGTAAAATTATCAAACAACTATAATTTGAAAGTCTTATATTTATCATCAATTAAAAAAATCTTTAAATATTTAGTTAAAAAAATCACTGCATGTAGATATTAGTCTTTCCATGAGATTAAAAGGTTTTCCTTAACTCAAACACGCTTCCCTTTTCTTAAAATTTATATAAGAAAAAAAATACACGAAATAGCAAGCGATTATGATAGTCTTCTCTCACAGATTACTTACTATTCATTATTTTCCATAAAATACATAAAGATGTTGTCTTTATTAGCGAGTAGTTTTTTAAGGAAAATTAGTGAGAAGTGATAGTGCTAGACAAAGTGTACGAGAAAAAGAGAAGAAAAATTAAAAGAGTAAAAATCTAAGCTAAATATAAATTAAAACTGGTTTATATATACAAGATTTAATAGAAAGTTGTTATTTATGATATTATAGTTGTACACAAATGAACAGAATGAAAAAATAGAAAAATAATGAAAGAATATATCTATGATATTTTTATCACTCTCTCTCAAGGTAAGCATGGATGTTGTGTATACTTAACTTGGATACAATAGATTCGAATATAAATGGATGAAGAGATTTTGTAAAGATATCAGTAATTTGGTTATTGGAAGGAACATGAACAAGTTTGATAAGATCTTCAATAATCTTCTATCTTGTAACATGACAATCAATCTCAATATGTTTGGTGCTTTCATGAATGAAGGGTTATTGACAATGTGAATAACATAATAATTATCACAAAAAACATAATAGGGTGTGAAAACATGGACTTGAAAATCTTGAAACAAGTAATAAAGTCATTGTATCTCACAGGTTACGGAAGCAAGAGATCTATATTCTGCTTCAAAAGATGACTTTGATATGATTGTTTGCTTCTTTGACTTCCATGCAACAAGAGCAGTACCAATAAATATACAAAATATAGAAACATATTTTCTTGTAGTAGTACAGGTGACCCAATCAGAGTCAGAATATGTGTGCACTTGTAAAGATTTGTCAGCAGCATATAATAAGTAATTTCCTAGAGCATTTTTCATATATTTTATTCTCATAGCATGTTGTAGATGAGGTTGTCTTGGAAAAGAAATAAACTGGCTTAATTGTTATATAGCAAAGACAATGTCCGACCTAGTATTAGTGAGATATATCAATCTCCCAATTAAACGACGATATGAAGAAGGAGTAGCTCTCCAGTATCAGTATGTAAGTGAACTGCAGGATCTGAGGGTGTTGATGATGGTTTGCAACCAAGCATACTAGCTTCAAAAATTAATTCCAAGCAATATTTGCGCTAATTCAAGCATAAACATGTTTTTGACCGAGAGATTTCAAACTCAAGAAAGTATTTTAGAGGACCAAGATTTTTAATGCAAAACTTGGTATGAAGATGGTGTTTAACAGAATCTATTTCAGATAAATCATTGCCTGAGGGAAGGATATCATCAACATAAACTAGAATGATGGTCGTTGGCAGATAATGTTTCACAAAAAGTGAATGATCTGCAACACTTTGTTTATACCCAAGAGAAAAGAGTTCAGAATCGAGCTTGTGATTCTAGTTGCGACTTGCTTACTTGAGATTGTAAAGAAACTTCTAAAGTTTACAGACCATATCTGATTGAGGTAAAGTGAGACTGGGTGAAGACTTCATATAAATATCTTGACAAGTCACCATGAAGAAAAGTGTTATCCACATCTAATTGATAAAGAAACTAGTTATGAACACTAGCAAAAAGCAAGAACAAGGTGTACAGGAGTAAGTTTTACTATTGGTGAGAAAGTTTCATAGTAATAAACTCCTTGGGTTTGAGTGAAGCCCTTTGCCACTAAACGGACTTTATATCTCTCAATAGATTCGTCTATTTTATGCTTGATCCTGTAAACCCAACGACAACCAATAGGCTTTTTACCACGAGGAAGAGAAACCAAGGTCCAAGTATTGTTTTGGTGTAGAGCTTGAAGTTTAAAATTCATAGCTTGTTGCCAACATTCAAACTTGTTAGCTTAGTAGAAAGAGGAGGATTCAACTTGTGGATAAATATTATTACAAAAGGAAGTGTAGTTAGGAGAGCATTTATTATATGAAAGAAACAAGTGAATAAGATAAGGTGTAAATAAAGAATCAGGGATGAAAGAAACAATAACAATACCACAATAATAATGGTCTAAATATCTATGTCTATTTTTAACTCTAAGGAAAACCCTTTGACCAAAGTAGAAACATGAGTATTATTAGGAATAATAGTATTATCTATTGTGTAATCTGTGGTATGGGAAGCAGGTACAGAAGAAGGAAAATAAAAAAGGGTTACATAAGAAAATTCATCTTTTATAGGGATGTCAGACAATGGCAAAGTTGAAACATATAGAAACACATTTTCATGAAAAATCAGTGTCTTGAAACTAAAATGGATTTGGAAGGCATGTCATACACAAAACCTTTAGTGCTAGTTTTATATCCAAGAAATATGTATTTTGAGCAAAGTGAATCAAGCTTATTATGTCCTGGAACAATAGAACTAACATATGCTAAACACCCAAAGACTTTAAGATTGGAAAGTTTTGGTTTAACAGAGTGAATAATTTCATAAGGTGATTTGTTTTTGAGAAAGGGTGTGGGCAGTATGTTAATAATATGAACAAGTTTTAAAGAGTAAAATCAAAAGAGATTTGGAATTTTGGCTTGAAAAAGGAGAGATTTGCAGAATTTGAGAATTATTACTCTTGAAAAAGAATATATCTTTGATATCTCTATCAAGAAGAGTTTGAGAATTATTACTTTTGAAAAATAAAAATTCAAAGCTATCGTATATATCTATGATAATTGCTAATTTTCCATTAATGCAATACATACTTTATGGTGTTTTCCTTGATTCCATGAATGACATTTAAATTCGTGGATGCACGCAGGCTGTTCGGCTAACTAAGTTCGACTATAGACTTGCTAATATGCTGGATGAAGATCTACAAAAGCTTAGGTGCAGGGTTAATTACCATGCTCTCAAATTTACGGATTCCATTCAGGAAATGGGTAATTTGTTGGTTGAGCGGATGAAAATGAAGAGCAAGCATTTCATTGCACTACATTTGAGGTAAGATTTAATAATTTTAGCCGAGCTTTATTCGCGGTTTCTTTCCTTTGTCATTTAGTTCCTGAAATGAAATAGTCAGCATGGAAGTGGAACACATATCACGGTCAGAATTTGATCATATTCTTGTAAAAATTTACTCGCATTTAGAAATTGAGACATCCGATTCTTTTCATTTTTCTTATCTGTGTTTTATGTTATAAACTTCGATTTAAACTTATGTTTTATCACATAGGTTTGAACCAGATATGCTTGCATTCTCTGGTTGTTATTATGGCGGGGGAGAAAAAGAAAAAAAAGAACTTGGTGAAATTAGGAAACGGTGGAAAAATTTACATGTAAGTTTTTAATAGCATCCAAGAAATCAGCATGTATGAAATATGATATTTTGTTACTTGGGATGGAACACAGGCTAGCAATCCTGACAAAGTTCGAAGACATGGAAGATGTCCACTCACCCCAGAGGAAGTTGGTCTGATGCTAAGAGCACTAGGTTTTGGAAGTGACATTCACTTGTACGTGGCATCTGGCGAAATATATGGAGGTGAGGAAACGTTAGCTCCCCTCAAGGCTCTTTTTCCAAACTTCCATTCAAAGGAGACCATAGCTTCCAAGGAGGAGTTGGCACAATTTGTGTCATTTTCTTCTCGCATGGCTGCACTAGATTTCATTGTTTGTGACGACAGTGCTGTCTTCGTTACAAACAACAACGGTAACATGGCAAAAATTTTAGCTGGAAGAAGGTAAGCTACTTCTTTGGTGCCGTGCTTATAAGTTTTTGTAACAAATTCTGTACCTGGAAGTAGGAAAGTTGCTTCATTGGTACAAAAGCAATTTAAATTTAAAAGATTTGAACAGCAACATTTAAACCATCATCTCTCGGCTCAGCCCAGATACATGGCTACTATTTTCCATTTGTATAGCCTAAAGTAACTCAGGATTGAGTCGTAACAGAGCAATTGACCATCCAAAGCAATTATGATATTTGGTTATTTCTTGATGCTGATGAAGTCAAGTTTATAACCTACGCATGCTCATTTTCTCTGATGCAGGAGGTACTTCGGTCATAAACCCACCATCCGCCCAAATGCAAAGAAGTTGAACCAGTTATTCGTGAAAAAAAATAATATGACGTGGGAGGAATTTGCCTCTCGAGTTCGAACTTTCCAGGTAGGCTTTATGGGAGAACCAAATGAGTTGAGGCCTGGCAGTGGTGAGTTTCACGAGAACCCGTCATCTTGCATTTGTCAAAACTCATCATCAGAGTCGGAGGTAAAAACTGAGGGAATTTCCTACCTCCAAAATCAAACACGTGAATACTACGAAGTCAATAATACAAAAAACAAGGTTGAAGAGCAGGAGTGGTCTGAGGGAGATTGTTTGAACAATAAGAAAAAACAGAATAGGCTCAAAGTAACTAAACTTGACTCACTTTCTCTTCTAATGAGCACGGACCAAGCTGAATTGCAAGAATTCTTCTCTGATTAGATAAAGATTAAATTTCATCTCTAACACTGTCATCTAGCAACTTGTCCCTGCTATTCCAATGATTGTCGTTTGCTTCCGCAGATAACTTGAGACATTTTTTCCCTATAAGGTGTTGCAAAATTATAGGTTTCGTACAAATTCAAGTTTCCAAGGGGATCTGCTTCAAAAATGTATACTGTAACAATTGTATAGGCTATTTTGGAGTTTGAAGCTTCTGGAACTGATGTACATGTGGGCGTTCCATTCAGTGTGGTATTATACCATCATATCCATTTTTACAATTTTAGATGTACATGTGCGAAACATGAAAATTACTATTGAAGAACTTTTGTTACTTGCTTTCTATTGAGTAAAAGCTATTTATCAAGTAAACCATCCATTTATTTTTATAATAGATAAATTATTAATTAAACCCTAGAATAGTACTTTTTTTAACTGATTTTCAAGCTAATAAGATTATATAAATAATAAATAAATTTTATCAGTTTAGTTTATACATTAATATATTTTATTAATGTTGAGAAATTAGTTTAATAATATAACGCATTTAAAAATTTTAAGGATTCATTTCAATACTTTAAAATTACCAAAAAGCGAAATATTTGGGAAGCAATGAAATGTTTTATTCAAAAATTATTCTCTACCTCGTAGAGAATCTCAAACAAATAAAGCAATATTGTTTTACCGCAAACACATTATGACATTATTACTAAGTAATCATTGCTATCTGTGTTTCTTTTGCTAATAATTAGAAAAATGTTTTATGCACAATCTTCTGCTGTCAGTGGTGTTCGTGTATACTCTGAATTACATTTGGCGTTTCATAGCTGAACTTTTCCAGAGCCCTTTTTACAGTTTAATTTGAGAACTAAAAAAACGTTTTTTTTTTTTGTATAATTAAGAAGCAACAAATAGTTTGGTACCTTTTTTCTCTACTAATTATTTTACCCAGGAATGAGATTTGTATGAGTTTTGGGGTCTACTTAATAATAACCAATCACTACTAAAAAAACAAGCGCGACACCAATCAGTGCACAATGACAATGGTTTAAAGGCGATGACTTAAGTTGGGACCATTTTGAGGCCTTCCATTCGTCTTTGGTGTTCCCATTTCCCACCAACTCCCAAACAATCAAATTCTACTCAGTAGTTAATTACATTAACCAATGAATTTATCATAACTTATGCTTTTCAAATAAATAAAGGGAATTTATGACTTACTAAAAGTTTCCCTAAATTATTCTTTTTTAACTAATAAATATAAAATTCTTTAAAAATTTTGTTAATTAGTACTTATAAAAAAAAAGTAGATATATTTTTTAATTGAAAGAAAAAAGTTTTAACAGATGGTGTGAGTGTCTCAGAACAAAGAGAGAAAGCAGAGCAGCTTTTTTAGCAATTAATAATTTGCGTTGCTGATTAAATGAGTCAGCATCTCATTTCATTCTTAATCAGATTCCATTCACTCAAAACAAAAAACAAAAAACAAAATGAAAATGAATCATCACATGTGATTCCTCAAAAGTGTCTGGTCTGAAGTACATGCACTACTCAACCGTGCGCTTTTACCTCTCTGCCCCCAACTCACTCTCTCTTGGGTTTGGGTTTGGGTTGGGCTTTGGGCTATCAGGCTAATGGGCTACCAGCAATTGGGTATTTTGTTTTAAATACAGAAAAAGTAAAGAGAGATAAAATTAAATTGACAGAGGAAGAAGGTACATATATGTATAATGTATGAGGATTGATTTGATATTAATTGGGGAGGGTCCAACACGTGGAAGGGTCTTCTCTGTCCTAACTTTTCCACGTTCCTAAACCAACATTATGAGGTGAGTGGAGAGGAAAGAAGATCCTCTGTCATTTTATCTGCACAAACTCTTCATTACTTTAAACCCTAAAAGATATTGCATATTCACTTGTATTTTTCTTCTTTAAACAAAACCGTACATTCCTCTTCCTACTTTTATTTCATCTTCAATTTCTCCTCACAACATCTACAACAACACTCCCAATCATGCCCTTCCTTTGGACCACCCACTTCCATATCACGTCACGTTACCACTCCAACCGCAATGCAATCAATATAATGCGCCCCACTTTCTTTTTTTTTCTTTTTTTCACTACCAATATCTTTCTTCCTAATAAAATTATTATTATTATTATTATTATTCCGACTCGCTAAGGAATCTAACGTAATTTAAAAATAACACCAATAATAATTTAAATATATATTTTTTATATTAAAATATTTTAAAAACAAATTAGTATAATTCTAAGACAAATAATATGTTAAACATAAAAATCCTTCCTGCAATATTATCATATCAATAAAACATTCTCGTAGGTAGTAAACATAAAATATCTGTTTGTTATTGGTCAACTTTGATTTTAAGAATTCCTCCTTCGTGGCGGCGCCGGATAAAAATGGATTCACTAAATGTTCAAACTTATGATGCATTCAGGAAGTTTCAAGAACAAAAGCTTTTGAAGGTAAATATTTATGTTAAGCACATGTATCAATAGCAAAAAAATGTTTCATATAAAGTACAATAAAAAATATTTTTTGACATTTAAGAGATGAAATTTGCATTTGAGAATACTGGGAGCCACAGAAAATGTTGTAAAGGAGGAAATATGAAGCGATGAAGTGTGAATGGGTGATTGGTAGGCATAGAGCATCTTTTCAATCTCATTGGTTTTCATAGGTGTGTCTTTTCATTTCATCTTTCTTCTCTCACTCTTTTCTTTCAAAATATCATCACTACCATTCCTTGTTCCACGTCAATCTTTTCAAAACCCCATCATTCGTCGTCGAAAGCTAACCATTTGCATTGTTACTTTTTAAAGAACAACATATTTACAATCGAGACATCAAGATTGAGATAAATAGAAAAACATGATATAACTACAATTTTAAAAGTAACCTATGTTTTATTAATATAAGAATTAACGAAAAATTAAAGAGTATAAAAGTATACTAATTGCATCATATATCATGATTTTATATATTTTAGACTATTTTAATTGATATAATAATTTTTTTAATTTAATTCATTATAAAATATGATTAATATCTTTCAGAAAAATCTTAACTAACATATTCTCCGCATATTTTTATACAAATATAATACGTATTATATATGTAGTATTTCAATTAAATAATTAAACACCAAACTATTTATAACAATCTTGTGATGAAAAATATTGCTAACAAGTATCAGAATATGTTATTGAAGCATTTAGTTAATGACTTAAATATAAAATTCTTAACCTAGTCTTTATAACACATACAATTATCAAGTAACCATGACATTTAACTTGAATGGCCTTTAATACAAATTAAATTGAACAGCAATAACTTGTGTTTTTAAGCAACTCTTCAATGGAGGGCCCTATGATTTGAAGACTCATTACAAACTGGTTTTTCTTCCTCCATTCCCTACTTATTCTTTATCTTATCAAGGAACCAGTTTTAATTATATTAACCAATATTTTTAGCATAAAAAGTTCAGGAGGATAGGGTCCATAACACCTATATTTCCAAAGAGTATAACCAACAAGAGTTCATTGAAGATATAATTGCCAAAAATATGAATATGCCGACAAATTTTGGTATTTTATCGGAAACAGAATGATTGAGGGGTAAGCATATATATTTTAAACAAATAAAAACATATATTTTAAAAAAAATTATTATTAAGTATATGATAGTTTGTAGAGAATAAATTTGTAAAATAGAAAAAAACAACAACAGTATTGTTAAAATGACAGGAATTGTGAGAGGGTAAGATGGTAATTTAAGATTGAAAAGACGTGTTTTAATGGAGAAAGGAAAGAAAAATGGAAGTTAGACAGAAAAAGGGGATGGGTGTAACCAAAAGGCAGGCGTCAAACTTCAATTTTTAAGCTTTCAAAGTTGAATAAACAGTTTTTCTTTCTTATAACGTCAAACTTCAGATTGTTTCATGCTATTTTCTTATAAACCCTAAATATAAAAGAAAGTTTAAAATTAGGGTGAGAAAAGATTAGGGAGAAGTGTGAATATAATAATAAAAAAGAGATAAAAATAGGAAAGAGTGGTAAAAAATGTGATAGAAAGGGACGAGGAAGTCCTTGCTGGCAAAGATTCCCTGGTTCATTGATTCAGTAGGAGTGGTGGGGGTGGTGGCGGTGCAGAAGAGTTGATTTGGGTGGAAGAAGGAAACCCTAGAGGGGAAGGAAGGAGTGAATTGAATGGGGTGTGCCAGCTCGAAGCTGGACGATCTCCCGGCGGTGGCGCTGTGCAGGGAGAGGTGTGCTTTTCTGGACGAGGCAATCCACCAGCGCTACTCACTCGCCGCAGCTCACATCGCGTACATAAACTCGCTCAAGGCAATTGGTCACTCCCTCAACACGTTCATCCACCAAGACACCACCCAAGGTCCTTTTCCGACCTCTCCCACGCCCTCTCCCTCTCCCTCTCCCCCTCACAAAACCCAACATCTCTCCAAGAACGCTTCTCCTTCTCCCTCCGACTCCGCCGGCTCCCACCTCCACTTCCACTCTGACTCGGATGACCTCGCCTCCCTCCATCACTCCCCCGACTCCTCCCCCCCACGCCTCCCTTCCTCTTACTTCGCCCAGTCCCAACCGGATCATCACCTTCACATGAACTTCATGAAGAACAAACCCGCCCCATCAATTCTCTTCCACCAGAGGCCCCTCAGTCCCGATACCGTCTACGCCGGCGAGTCCTCTTCCTCCTATTACCCTTACAACTATCCCTCCTACCCCTACGATCCCTATTCTGCTCCTCCCTTTCACGGATCTTCCGACCCCCAGCGCCAACCCGTTTCCAAGCCCCCTCCGCCTCCCCCATCCCCCCCTCGGGCCTCCACCTGGGACTTCCTCAACTTCTTCGATAACAGCGACGACAAGTACTATCCCCAACCTCATTACACGCCTACCCCCAGCCGCGACTCCAGAGAGCTCAGAGAGGAGGAGGGGATCCCCGATTTGGAAGACGAGGATTTTCATCACGAAGTCGTCAAGCAAGTTCACGGGGATCAGAAGCTGGTCGAGCCTAAGCACGAACCCCCTCTCACCCACCACAACAACCACCTACACCTCCACGATGAAGAAGAAGACGAAGACGAAGAGGAGGTGGAGTTTGAAGCGCGTGTCGTGGATAAGAAAGTGGTTGATGTCGATAAAGACGGAAACAAGGCCAAGGAGCATGCCGCATTCCGTAGCCGTCGACCTGGTTCCCGGAATCCCCTTGAGGTTGCGAAAGAGATTCAGGATCTCTTTCAGAGGGCTTCTGATTCCGGTGCCCTAATTGCCAAGATCCTTGAGGTGGGCAAGCTTCCCCACAGTCGAAAGCACGCCGCCTATCAAGGTGAGTCAGATATTCTTTTGCTCTGCTCATTTCTCTGTATTCTCTCACATGGTTCACATTTCGCAATTCTTATTGTGCCAGCTTCTTCCAAGATGCTACAAGTTGTTTCTCCCTCATTGTCTCTTGTGTCCTCCCAACCTTCTACTTCTAATGATACCCAATCCGCCTCTAACATGGATCTTGGTGTTGATCTAACCACTGGAGCACGCAATCTTTCCTCAACACTGCATAAGCTCCTTCTCTGGGAGAAGAAACTCTATAATGAAGTTAAGGTATGCCAGTCACTCAGTATTGGATCATGAGTCACCAATCTCAGTCCCTTGATCTTATTTTCACTTTTAAAACATTTAATTCTTTGCTCATTTTGAAAAATGTCAATGTTTAATCTTGCTGCATTGGCATTACTTTTTGTATGAGAGATCAACCGTGGATTAATCTTATGTGTCATAAGTGAAATATTGTTAACTATTGTTTACTTGTTTCCATAAAGTTTTTCCAACACTGATTTGTTTGCAGGCTGAGGAAAAGATGCGGGTCACACATGATAGGAAGTGTCGCAAGCTGAAGCGCATGGATGATAGGGGCGCTGATTTTCATAAAGTTGATGCAACTCGAACCCTGATTAGGAACCTGTCCACAAAAATAAGAATGGCAATTCAGGTTGTTGATAAGATTTCTATGACTATAAATAAGATAAGGGATGAAGAACTGTGGCCACAGCTGAAGGAATTGATCCAAGGGTATGTGATATTAAAAACTTACCATTGTTGTTAATTGTTCAAGTCCTAAATGTCTCTGTTCATGATTGGCTACACTGTATGCATGGATGGCAAATGTAATCCCACATCTGTACTTCAATCCAAGCGTACCATCCCCCGTCTCCAATCCATGGGATTATTAAGTTATTGAAAATGGAAGAGGTGGTGTTTCTTACTATTAGGTTTGAAAGCCAACTTTTCTCTGCTGCCTTTCCATCATTATGTGATCTACCCACAATAATCTTGCAAATTTCAATTATTAACATGCTTTGAAATGGATGGGTTGGATGGTTTTATTTAAATGGGTGATGGATGGATTGGAATCTTTCAAATCATTTTCAATGGATCACATAGATAAATAGATCAAGGAGTTGTTTTTTGCCCATCCATTATAATCCAACTCAATTTATCCAAACCAGGGGTGTTGATTGGTTTAGACCAGTCCAATTTACCCAAGAATCTAAACCAAACCAATTAAAATGGTTCATAATTTTAGCTTGATCGGATCCAATCTGAACAAGACAAGACCAATTAAATATGATGGATGGTGATTGATTTAGGTAATAGATTTGTAATTTACAAATCCTATGAACTCGAGCCGAAATAATAAGTTTTTTTTTGTTATTAATTATTATGCATAATTTTTTATGAACTCGATCATTTCCCAAACATCTTTCCAACATCCCTTTTTATAGTACTAGTCATGCATTTCATCTTGTACTTTTTCAATCAATCATGAAAAAAAAAATTATTTTAGAGAAGTCAAACGGATGTTTATAAGTTTTGGGTTGCCTATACATCTTTTTCCAATTTTTATATGGTACGTTTTTTTGAGCATTTTTTGGACACATTGTTTTCTTTTAACAAAACAGATTTTTGTACATTTACATAACAGTGGACCCAATTAATATGTGAACCGAATCAACCTGTGTTGGTTTGGCTTGGATTGTAATTTTTTTCTTTTGGAAAATTCAAATCATTGAAAATCAATGACACCTGTCACTATCTACATTTTTGTTTAAAATATTTGAAAAAGGTTTAGGGTCAAGTTACGTGTTCTCTGTACAAAATTTGATTGTCTATTATCGTGCAAACATGAGGACCAGTCAGCTGGTGGTGGGGTCAGTATTTTACAATTATAATGAATGAGGAGAGTTTGTGTAGAGCATTCTGTAGTCAAAGTAAAACAATGCAGGCAAGTCAACCATGTCTAAATGGGATTAGAGCTCAGGCTTGTTCAGTCTTTAGCTTTTTGTATTTGTTTCCAATAATTTGCCGCAAAACATTCGAGCAAGATTTGATGAAAGGGATTGATTACTCATTATTGAGGTTCCATTTTATCTGCATCATATATTTTAACCCATATGAAATTAATTGAAATGTGGATGCATGGTGAAATGAATATCCTGTGGAAATTCGATCAAGCCTCCTGCAATCTGCTGGTAGATCACATACTTGTTCATCTTCTAAGACCCTTTCCAATAGTTTTGATAGATCTTGCTATTTACTTATGTTTATAATTTCCAACCACAAGATCTAGATAATTTGGTGGCTAAATTACTCTCCAATCTACAATAGGAAACCAAAAACCTTAAACATATGTACCCTGTCTATCCTTGTTCTAGTGGATTGAGCACTTGAATTCAGTATTCGGAGTCATTCAATGCTCCATCCAGTTTTTTGGTTGCACACAAGCTGTCATGCTGTCATCCATGCCCCCTCTTTCTCTTCTCAAGTTTCTATGTGCTAATAACATTTTTATGTGTGTCCTTTGCAACAAGACATGCATGCGAGATAATATCATATGTTATTAGAATGTCATCATCTGAGTATTTGTAGGATGCCTGGGCATAAGATTCCGTGTTTGTATGATAGAATGACATTCTTATTTTCAGGTTGACCAGAATGTGGAAATCCATGCTTGAATGTCATCATAATCAGTGTGAAGCAATTAGAGAAGCTAGAATACTGGGTTCCATGGGATCCAGGATAAAGAGCGGTGATAGTCATCTTCAAGCAACCAAACAACTTGAACAAGAGCTCATCAATTGGACTTTCCAATTTTCTGGCTGGATAAGTGCCCAGAAAGGTTATGTTAGAGCCTTAAATAATTGGCTGCTGAAATGTCTCCTGTATGAACCTGAAGAAACACCTGATGGCATAGTCCCCTTTTCCCCGGGTAGGATTGGGGCTCCACCAATATTTGTAATATGCAATCAGTGGTCCCAAGCTTTAGATAGAATATCTGAAAAGGAAGTTGTTGATTCCATGCATGTATTTACAATGAGTGTGCTTCAGATATGGGAACAAGATAAGCTAGAAATGCATAGGCAGATGAATCAGAACAAGGATCTTGAAAGAAAAGTGAGAAATATAGATAGAGATGACCAGAAGCTGCAGAAGCAAATTCAAGCATTAGAGCGAAAGGTGGTTCTGCTATCTGGGGAAGGTAAAGGTCTGTCAGTTTCCGAAAATATCATTTATCAGAGTGACAAAAGCAGTAGCCTACAGGCTAGCTTGCAGCGCATATTTGAGGCCATGGAGAGATTTACGGAGGAATCTGTGAGAGCTTATGAGGAGTTACTACAACGGAGTGAAGAAGAAAGTGTTGCCCGAAATCGTGAGAGAGTTTGATAGGATGGTGTAGTTGGAATCATATCTTTGCCATTTGCCCAGAATAGAGACATGCTGGTCTCCTACCAACTCTTTACAACAGAATCTTGAGGGGAGGAGTTGGATTTGTCTTCTCACTATAAGTTTGCATGGATGCTTTAGACTCAGGGTCCCAGACAGGGGAATTTATAGTCAAACAACAGAAAGAGAAATTTGAGGTGTGGCGCAGAGTTGCTGTTTTTTGATTACTCAGTGCTATAAGGCTACAGGTGAAGTTATAACAAAAACAGGGGAGCCTACAAATTTTAACATCAATAGTTGAATGGTCTTTATTTGTGCTTTAGAAAATAGCATGAATATATGGCTAGAGATGAAGGAGGGACTTTCTGGTATATAATATAGTCCCTATTTGAATGATGTAGGTGCTCAATGTGAAACAATACAGTGGTGGAATTTTTGTGATGCGCAATTGGAACAAGCCTCGTTGATGAGCGTAGCTAGCTCTCTATTAGAGTGACGCATGTCACTGGAAGCATGGGTGTTTATTGGTTCCTGTATAAAATTATGTTCATTTAGTAAAAATATTCGTTTTCAAGTTAAATTATTGTACAGATTACCTATTAACACTGAGCAGGCTTAATGAAAAAGCACTTAGAATAAAATATTTTTGATAGTCCATTTGAGATTTCTGTTCCTCAATTGAAATAAATTGAGGAGCTTTCTTCAAACTTGAAAAGAAAACCACCTTCTTATGCGATTACCAATATTACATCAGTGGTCATGGGTTCTTACGTTTCCTAGATTTGTTTATGATAAATCAATACATAATATACAATGGAGAGAAAATAGTTAGTCATTAAAGTGGTTACAGTTGAATTAATTTGTACACTCAACTCATAGTTTATGAAAGTGGCCATTTGTTGATATTTCCCGGATAAAATGTTTTCTTTTTTCTTTTTTTCTTGTAAGATGTTTTATTTATTAAAATAGTTTTTATAACTTCTTTATTAATTTAGTCTTTATAAATATAAATGTATATTTTCAATTCTGTTAATTTTATTGATTGATATTATTGTTTAAAATTTTGTTTCTTTTTTTATGTTCTTAATTCATTAATTATGATGTGGATGAAAATTTGATTTGAGATTTTTGTGTTAAATCTAACTTAAAACTTATCGTTATATCATTTCTTCACGTACCTATAAGGTTAGGTCACCATAAAAATAATTTATATATTTTATGTTAATGGATTGGCGTAATTCTCGTATGGTGATAATGTGAAAATTATGAAGATTTTGACATGTTATGACATGGATATTGTAATGCTTTATATTGGCTATTCCACTATCACCTTCATCCCTTCTAATCTTATGAGTTAAAAGAATTGAAAAAAAATCATATTTAAATTGTATAAAGATTAAACTAATACCAATATTTTTATAGGCAAATTATAAGGTTTACTCAGTAGTAAAAATTAAAAGGGAAATGAAGGGAGGTGAGGTAAGTTCTATTAAAAAAAACTAACATTTTCCGTAAAAAAAATTAATAATTACTTTAATAAATAATTATATTTTAACTTGTGAATTATTTTAACGAAGAAGACCTTTTTAAGAAGAAAATAAAAATTCATCTAAACAAATTTTAAACGTACGAGAAAAAAAACCTAGCCGCTGAACAATCGTGATTGGTAAACATGACGAAGTGACGGTGATTTAAAATTGAGTTACTTACCAATCTTGTGGCTTTTCTTTGATCAAAGAGGACATTTTTCGTAGTTTTCTTTTTGTAGCATTATTTGAAGAACTTCTATGGAGTAACTACCCATGATCACATTCATTGCATTTTTTTTTTCTCTTTGTGGAGGTGGCTCTTCAATGTTATTAGTTCCTAATGAGAACTCCAATTGAAGTGTTGTAATTTCGTTTCGCAGCTATTCCATTAAGTCGACGGGTGGAGTTTATCATCTTCTACACTTGATGTTGGTTGGGCCTCATCTTTATGATCCATAATAATGATCAAGATCAAGTTCCTTCATGTCCTTGATCCTTTCAAGATCTACCTATTCAATACTGGCAGAGCTTCTGAATTAAAATAAGATACTGTGTGTTGTGTGGTTAATGTTTGGGTAGAGTTTAAGTTCTTTAATGTTAGATAGCCTTTTGAAATTTCGTTCGCAACTTGTAATAAAATCCTGGATGGGAGAACGTTTAAACGTGTATGTTCAACATGGTGGATCTTTATCTTTCAAGAGAATAAGAGGTTAATTTTGTTTTCATTTTTAAAGAGTTCTAAATCTAAACATATACACCATTAATGAACATTGCATTTTGTACGCCCATAATGAGAAGGTGCAGAGGTGTTTTCAAGGGATAGGATTGTGACTGCTGCAATCTACGTGCCACCCTACACAACTCAATTATTTCGATATCATCCTTTTCTTTTTACTTTCTACAACCATTATTCACACACGGTAATAATATTCTCTCTGTAAAAATTTTATTATTTAATTCCATTATTTTCTTTTCAGCCTCATTCACTCGCCTTTTCTCTTACATCCGTACAAGCTGGGGGGTGCTTATAGCTCACGCCCAACAATTATTATTATTACCTTTTCTTTCTCCTTTTTAGCCTTTGCAAACGAAATTGAAATCAGATTCTTGTGTTGTTGAGTGGTAGATTGTCATCTAGCAAAAAGGTAGCACATCACAATTAGCCCAAAATGAGATATTGGTTATTATTGAATTTGGTCAGGCAAATTTTTGTTTCCTGACGTTGCTCATTGCTCTAATCATATATGTACAATAATTGATGGTAACACGAATGGGGTTTTGATATTTATATAATCTATATTTCATAATTCTATTTTTCTTTCTATCCTTATATGATAAAAATATAAGTTTGACTAAAATTAATGGGAAGGTTGTATTAGCTGCATTCCATGTGAAACGTACAAAAGTTGGTGTTAAGCGTAAGGAAATTGGTGATGGAGTCGTAGGATTCCATGTTGTCTCATAAACGTAAGAAACGGACAGGACAAAAATTTGTATAAGTTATGAAGCACCAAGGTCTTTTAAGTGAACAAGGATAGATTTTGTTCTGAAATTAGAGATAAGTTCTGTGAAATACAAATATTATGTTTTTTTTTCTTATATCGTAGAAGAGTGATTGGAAAACACAAGTTTGTGGCATCTCAGCTTAAGACCAATCTAGTAAGAGAAGAGGAGAAAAGGAAAAAGCTTGACTTGGTTAGAACGTGCATCTCAGTGTTTCCCTAAAAAACGGTACTGAAAGGCAGCACGTGATCCATGGTTGTCAAAATAATGGAGAAAACATTTTACGAAAAGGAGAAGTCTTTAAATGCACCTCAGAGCAAGTTAATTGAATTTGCGAAGAAGCTTCTTTATGTTGACCCATCCTATGACTAGAGATTCCATTCATTACTCTTGGTTTCAAACTCTCGATTGGGGCAAGTGAAAAGGTAAAACCAGATTGCTGCAACAGACAACAACTCTGAGCACTGGGAAACTACATATTAAGTTTTGATCTCTTAAAGAAATGAAAAAACTGGAATTTAGAATATATAAAATGTTGGTATTGGTCATGCGTAAATTGAAGAAAAATGGAAAATGATGGTTTACGTTGCGTTGACGTGTGTAGGTTTAGATACGTTAGGGAGGATTAGTCGGCAAGGAATTATTGGAGGAGCTAACCAGCTAGGTTTGAGGGATACTTGTAATGTGTCGCGAAACCAGGTACGAAGTCAGCGTAACATTTTCCGTAACTAAGATGGACACCACCAACAAAAAGAATCAATGGAGAGCGTGTCTTATTTATTTATTTTTATTTTATTGGAATAATAATATAATATATATATATATATATATATATATATATATATAAATGAAGCTAAAATACATAAGGGAAGCATTGATTGGGGAAATTGTAGTTAAAGAGAGAGAGAGAGGTGAAAGTTGGATATACAGTAATATTGATTTAACTGAATGGAATATTAATGAGTGGAAGGAGGGTGGAGTAGTGGATTGGGTTGTAATAAGTAAACAGTGATTAGTAATTAAGCAACAGTGAGGAAGATGAAGTTGAAGTTGAAGTTGAAGTTGGATAGATAGAGAGAGTAGAGAATAGAATAGAATAGAATAGAAACGAAACAGGGAAGGGAAAGGAAGAGAAGGGAACTCACTAAAAATATTGCCAAAAGGGCAAATCAGGGGACAGAGAGTAGAGAGAGTCGAGATCTCATGATCGGTGATAATTGCTGAAGAGAGAGAAGAGGAAGTAGAAGAAGAAGAAGAAGAAGAAGAGAGAGAAGATGGGTTGCTGCCAATCGTCGATGCTGCTGAGAGTGGGGGAGAGGGAGACTCACCCGGAAAGGGAAAGGGAAAAGGAAAAGGAAAGGGAAAGGGAAAAGGAAAAGGAAAAAGAGCAAGCATACGGAAACCAGCAGAGGGCGTGTGTGGAGGGGGAGCGGGAGAAAGAAGGGGTGGATTTCTCCTTCACGGAGTTCTCGCTGCCGGAGTTGAAGGGGGCCACCAACAATTTCAGCTCAGAGTATATCGTCTCTGAGAGTGGGGAGAAGGCGCCCAACCTCGTCTACAAGGGTCGCCTCCAGAACCAGAGCCGTTGGATTGCGGTCAAGAAGTTCAGCAAGGCAGCCTGGCCGGATCCCAAGCAGTTCGTCGAAGAGGCTTCCGGCGTAGGCAAGTTGCGCCACCCGAGGCTCGCTAATTTAATCGGTTACTGCTGCGACGGCGATGAGAGGCTCCTCGTTGCCGAGTACATGCCCTATGACACTCTCGCCAAGCATCTCTTCCACTGTATCTTCTTCTTCTTCTTCCTCATCTTGTATTATTTCTATTCCTGTTCCTTCATTTTTCACTTGTTTCTTTCTGCTTTCTCTTCCTTCCTTCAGGGGAAACTCAAACTATTGAGTGGGCCATGCGCTTGCGGGTGGCTCTGTACATCGCACAGGCTTTGCATTATTGCAGTTCAGAGGGGCGTCCCTTGTACCACGACTTGAATGCTTACCGTGTTCTCTTCGACCAGGAAGGTGATCCTCGTCTCTCTTGTTTCGGTTTTATGAAGAACAGCAGGGATGGCAAGAGTTATAGCACCAATCTCGCTTATACACCTCCTGAATATTTAAGAAACGGTAACTAACTACCTTCTCACTTTTTATTTACTTTTATAACTCTCACCAGTTACGTTTCTCTCTGTGCAAATTATTCTTATTGTCTTCTATTATTACAGGAAGGGTCACTCCTGAAAGTGTCATTTACAGCTTCGGAACCGTCCTTCTAGACCTCCTCAGCGGCAAGCACATCCCTCCCAGTCATGTAACTGCCTTCTATCCTTTTCAACTACTTTCCTCATTTTCTTTTTAACTATCTCAAACACTCACCTTCTGCATAAAATAACTGTCAATTGCTTATTCAATTGGGAGCATTTCTTACCCTAGCAGAATAGCTTCACAAGCAGGATTAACTGTAACTAATTCCTGTCTCTATACATAGACATATCGTTGAATTGAGTATATCTTTCGTGAAGCCTTCTTAACTATCTAGCATAGGATATATTAATCATTAAAAACTACAAATGAAACCACATATCTCTAAAAGCTTTGAAGGCCTCTATGTTTTTTATTGTGCCATTTTAATCTTAAACATGTAACACTTAGTTTCGTTATTTTCCCTATGGATATTGGCTGTAATTGTGTTTATAAGTGCTTGTTATATTACCATATTTATTTTGTGACATTGAAGTTGTGACTACCTTATAAATGATATTATAATATTGTACAATAAATAAACCATGAACATTTAAGAATGACAACTCGAGGTATGGAAATCTTTTTCTTTGATTGATAGCTACGATTGGAAGCTGCAGATGCTATTATAGGTATCTGAGTTTAACATCAATGCATGGATGCTGACTTGTTCAATTAGCTTTTCTGGTTGGTGCCATATGGAGTTATCTGGTTTTGTTTGCAGGCACTTGATATGATACAGGGGAAGAACATTATGCTCTTAATGGATTCGCATTTGGAGGGAAAGTTTTCAACAGAAGAAGCAACAGTAGTTGTTAATCTTGCCTCTAAATGTTTGCAATATGAACCGAGGGAGCGGCCTGATACCAAGGATTTGGTCACAACACTGGCCCCATTGCATACAAAACCCAATGTACAGAGTCTTTCTTTAGCTTAATAATGAAGCTTATTATTTACTGAATACCGAGATTGAAACTTTGTTGCTCAACAGCCTACCAAATATTCCATCATCACATGGGTTAGGCTTTATGTTGGATGTTAAATTTCCTGAATGTCTAATATTAAAATTCTATGACTCTTGATATTTAATATTTGTTTCTTTGATTACTCATTGCATAATGGAATCTACTTGGTTGGTGTATTTGGCTCACCATCCTTCAGTTACATTAAACATGGCAATCCAATTATTAGGCTGTGGGATTTAAAAAAATTCATTTTGACTCTGATTAGGATTTCTTTAGGCCATAAACTTCTCTTCTTGGTTGAGTTGTTATGATACGGTGGGATTTTTTGTATGAGAGAAGATAGGTTATAGATGTTTGATCTGTCCAGTTGTCAAATTGCCAAATTTGTTGGTTTGGCCCTTGTTATATAGTTATTATATATTACCATGTCATTAGTGTAGAGTAGCTATCAGCTTCGCCGATGACTAATATCCCGAAGAATCTAATAAGCCATCTTTAGTTGGGTCTCTCCTCCCAAAAATAAGTCTCTAATGCATTACTATTAGTTTGTTATTTTTAGAGGACAAAGGAAATTTTGGTAATTTTTCTGATGTGCTATTATCTAGGAATAACATGAGTCTAGGATAAGTTTTAATAACACCTTAGGATCTAAGCTTAGAGTCAAAATTCTACAAATCAACTTATAAACTGAAGATTGCGAAAGTTTTTTTTATAAGCAATATTTTTGGGTGATGGTGGACAAACATGCTTCCTGTCGTTGCAATTAAAGCAACTTCCTAAGAGGTCACAATTAAAGTTGGTAATATGTGATCAATTAATGCAACTTTCTTATACCCTTTTAGGGTCCCTCTCGTCCAATAAAATTGACTTTAACAATCAATTTGTAAGGTGGTGATTTCCCATGGCTTCTAATGATTAATTTGGTTATATATCTAGTCAATGTAGAATCTTAATTCACCCCTTGTGCTTATGACCCAGTAACAACCACTCTTCATGCATAGGAATTGATGAATATAGATGACTCAATAGAGGATCTACGTTAACATATTTGAATTTAAGCTTAGGATCGAACTCAATCCCATGAAAGTGGCTAGTAAATTGAGGAATCACACAAGCTTAGTATGAGACTAAACATTCCTTGAGTTTGCAGTTAAGACAATCATCAAAGAGGTTGCAATTTAAGCATGTTCAGAGCAGTCTTAACTAAGGTGACATTCCTACACTCCTCATTCCGAAAGTCATGGGCCTAGACAGTTGTGTTAAGAGCTTCTTGAATGAGTTAGGAGTTGACTCAATATCACAAAACTAGCTATTAAAGCGAAGGTTGTGCCTTACTTAAATACTCATTTTAGGCTTTATTTCTAATTGAGGTGAGACTTGAATTTTTTCCAATAACAATTGTAAGATAGGTTTTGATAACATATGATAATGTAGGTCAAGACCTAACTTAACTACACAAAATCGACTTATAAAATGAGATTCTTCCCACTTATATACTTTTTTTTTTTATCTTATCTCTTATTGATGTGAGACTTGAGTTTTTTCCCAATTTTCCCTCTCACACATGCCATTATTGGACTTGGTGCACAAATAATAGGTAAGTGGCCCGGTTATGGATCTGGCATAGATATTTATATCATCCTAATTTGGTTTAAGCCAAAAGCGAGGGTTTTGCCTTACTTAAATACTCATTTTAGGCTTTATTTCTAGTTGACGTGAGACTTGAATTTTTTCCAATAACAATTGTAAGATAGGTTTTGATAACATATGATAATGTAGGTCAAGGCCTAACTTAACTACACAAAATCGACTTATAAAGTGAGATTCTTCCCACTTATATACTCTTTTTTGGTCTTATCTCTTATTGATGTGAGACTTGAATTTTTCCCTCTCACACATGCCGTTATTGGACTTGGTGCACAACTAATAGGTAAGTGGCCCGGTTATAGATCTGGCATAGATTTTGATATCATCCTAATTTGGTTAAGCCAAAAGCGAGGGTTGTGCCTTACTTAAATACTCATTTTAGGCTCTATTTCTAGTTGACGTGAGACTTGAATTTTTTCCAATTCACCCTTTCCAATAACAATTGTAAGATAGGTTTTGATAACATATGATAATGTAGGCAAGGCTTACCTTAACTACACAAAATCGACTTATAAAATGATATTCTTCCCACTTATATACTCTTTTTTGGTTTTATCTCTTATTGATGTGAGACTTGAGTTTTTCCCAATTTTCCCTCTCACACATGCCGTTATTGAACTTGGTGCACAAATAATAGGTAAGTGGCCCCGGTTATGGATCTAGCATAGATTTTGGTATCATCCTAATTTGGTTTAAGCCAAAGTTAACCTAATAAAATCTATTTTTGAAGTTAGAGTTGCATACTCTTTTTTGTTATATTTCTAGATGAAGTGAGCTTTCCAACAAGAACCATGGGAGAACCACACCATAAAAGCTAGCTATTGTTGTTACAAAATATGTTCTTTGCATACACTTTCTTATAAAGAGCTTAGTCAAGTCAACTTTAATCTATTGCTAGTTCTTCTAATTTAAACTTAGGACTTAAACCCATCAAACTTACTTTATAAAACTAGTTTGTTAGGTAAACATTATCCAAGTCTTATAAGGACTACATTGGCCATATTTGTAGTTAACGTGAGATCTTATTATCTTTACACACCTCATGCTTAGGATTGGATGACCCAATAACAGCTCCTTATGCTTGGAATAGACTTATAAAGTGCGGACAAAGACAAATGAACTAATATCAGATTTAAGATAGACTTTAATACTATACTAGAATTTGGGTTTATGCCTAATTCAACTTCACTAGGGTAGCTTGTAAGGTAGGCTAGGGGTAACTTCAAGTGATAGATTTCCTACAAACTTTCTTATCTAGGATAGACCATTTTGTTAGTCAAATGACATCTAGAGGGGTGAATAGATGCACAAATTATAAATTTATTTAAGATTTCCAATAATTTGTTAATTCAATTTTAATTATCGGATTTAATATAGATAAAGCGAAAATGATAAAATAATAAAAAAGATATAGGGAAAGATAAAAGCACATAATAATTTATACTGGTTCGGGTCAAGTCAACCCTATATCCAGTCCCCTGTCACCTCTAATACGAGAGAGACAACCCAATTCACTATCTTTAAAATTCAGTTTACAAATTACAATCAACTTTGCAGAAGAACCAGTAAACAGTAAACTAATTAAAAAGATAAACACCTCTCTAGAATCTTACTAGAGATGAACACCTCCTCTGAATAAATCAAATGATGAACACAAAAACACACCTCTCAAGAATCTCACTTGAGATGAACACCTCCTCTGAACAAATCAAATGATGAACTCAGAAACACACCTCTCAAGAATCCAACTTGAGATGAACACCTTCTCTGAACAAATTAAAGGATGAACAATTCCCACAAAGGAAACCCTAAATTACAAGAATTTCAACAAGAACAGTCACACCTGATAATGGATACAACAAATTATAGAAGCCTGTAGAATGATAGCTCCAATAACAAGTGTGATTAACAATGAAAGCGTCAAAGGCAATAGGGAAAGGGTTTTCTCAAAAAATGTAAAATCTCTATTGCCTTGCTCAGAATGATTTTCTCAAAATTGATTTTCTATCAATTATGGATTCAAATCCTGTGTTTTTTATTTTTCATCAAAATTCATTTAAATAGGAAAATAACATTGAATATGTCAGAATAAAAATAAAAAATGGTCGTTGCTTAGTAATTAATTCGTAGAGAAAAATCAGAATGTTTTCAAAAGCTATTATTCTTCAAAAACGGATATATTTTTCAAATTCGAAGTGCCATAATCGATTATGTTACTTGCATAATCGATTATGACAGAGACAATCAATTTTTCATTTCTGATGCATCATAATCGATTATGGTACTTGCATATTCGATTATGACAGTGAGACTTTCAAAACAATTGTTTCATTTGGTGACATAATCGATTATGAACCTCTCATAATCGATTATGCCAGTGAAAACTACCATAATACGAAAATTGTTTCACACTTGTGTTTTGGAGGTTTATGTAAAATACTACTTCATTAACTTGTACCTCCATATCCAGTGTTCTAAGATTCTATCCAGTCTTTGGGCTTGCATAAGTCTTGAATGGTGTTGAGTTGAATCTTCATCAAAATTATTTTCTTCAGAATGTAGGAAATGTTTCACATTGCTATCAATCATCCCTACAGTACTTTCACATTTTACCATCTTAGAATTTGGACTTCAAATGTAACTCAATCTTAAAATCAACCTTCAAAACTAATTTGTAAGGTGAACTATCCAAGTCTTATAAGGACTACATTGCCCCCCTATCTCTAGTTGATGTAAGATCTGAACACACTCCTTTTGCCAATTATTTGATAGCTACGCATTCTCACGCCTAAAAATATACTTATAGAGCTTAGATAAATACGAGCTTTTCCAAAATGAATCTAAGATGAATTTTGATATCTTATTAAAATTTAGAATAAAACTTAACCATGCAAAACCAACTTCTAAAGTGTGAATTGCTTGAGCATTATAAGCCCTATCTCTAGGAATGTTGGACTAAACACATTTTTGAGACTGCAATTAAGGCAAAAGAAGTTGCAATTAAGGTGGGTTAGGAGTAAGTGAGCGAGTGATTGCAATTGAGGTGATTTTCTAACTGTTGAATATAGAAGAAATAGAGTTTGGGATTAATCTCCCTTGTGTATAAATCACACATAGGGTAGTCTATTTATAGTAGAGAGATAAAACTAAAAGAGTAACTGAAAGTAACAGAATAAACAGAAGATATTGTTTGATATTGTGGTTAACAATATCTTAACAATATCTTAACAATATCAAATAATATCTAAACAATATCTAACACTCCCCCTCAAGCTGGAGTATACAAATCGTATGTGACAAGCTTGTTACAAATATAATCAATTCTAGGACCCCGTAAAGATTTAGTAAAAATATCTGCTAACTGATCACTTGAGTTAACAAACTCAGTCTTGATGTCTTCAGATATAATCTTTTCTCGAATGAAATGACAGTCAATCTCAATGTGTTTGGTCCTCTCATGAAAGACAGGATTAAAACTAATATGAAGAGCAACCTGATTGTCACACACAAGTGACATTTGAGTGACATCTCCAAATTGTAGCTCTTTAAGTAATTGTTTGAGCCAAACAAGTTCACAAGCAGCTGAGGCCATAACTCTATATTCTGCTTCTGTACTAGATCTTATCACAACATTTTGTTTCTTACTTTTCCATGAGACCAAGTTACCACCAATAGAGACACAATATCCAGATGTAGATCTTCTATCCAAAGGAGATCTTGTCCAATCAGCATCTGAGTAGCAAACAACTCTTGTATGATTATTAGAATCATATAACAATCCTTTTCCAGGAGATCCTTTAATATACTTTAAGATACGAATGACCGCATTCCAATGATCTTCACATAGGGAATTAAGAAATTGGCTTACCACACTGACTGTAAAGGAAATGTCAGCACGAGTAATTGTAAGATAATTCAATTTTCCAACCAATCTTCTATACTGCTCAGGATCAGGTATAAGCTCCCCCTGATTTGGTAGAAGTTTAGTATTGGGATCCATGGGCGTATCAACAGACTTTAAATTCATCAACTCAGTTTCCTCCAAAATATTAATGGCATACTTCCTTTGAGATATAACAATACCTTCATTGGACTGTGCCACCTCAATACCCAAGAAATATCTAAGTTTGCCAAGATCTTTGGTCTGAAAATGGTGACAAAGATGTTTCAACTGAGAGATGCCATGGTTGTCACTACCTGTAAGAACGATGTCATTAACATATACTATCAAGTAAACACATCTAGCACTTGAGTGTCGATAAAAAACATAGTGATTTGCTTCACACTGAGTCATACCAAATTGTTGAACAACCTTGCTAAACTTTCCAAACCAGGCCCTAGGAGACTGTTTTAGGCCATATAGGGATTTGCGAAGACGACATACCATCCCAGAAGACTCCCCCTGAGCAACAAACCCAGGAGGTTGCTCCATATAGATTTCTTCTTGCAAATCACCATTGAGGAAAACATTTTTAACATCTAGTTGATAAAGGGGCCATTGTTGAAGAGCGACCACGACGGTAAATAAACGAACAGAAGTCATCTTTGCCACAGGAGAAAAGGTATCTCCACAATCCAACTTAAAAATTTGAGTATAACCTTTGGCTACAAGACGAGCTTTGAGGCGATCAATAGTACCATCAGGTCCAACTTTGATAGCAAACACCCACCTGCAACCAACAACAGATTTTCCAGACGGTAACGAGACCAATTCCCAAGTTCCACTATTATGAAGAGCACTTAGTTTATCTAACATGGCCTGACGCCAACCAGGATGAGCTAAAGCTTCACGGACAGTTTTTGGAATGGTCACAGAAGAAAGAGAGGAAAGACATGTATAAAAAGGTAATGACAGTCAATGATAACTCAAACCAATATAATGGGGAGAGGGATTACGTGTAGAATGGATACCTTTTCGGAGGGCAATGGAAAGGTCAGACTCAGGTGTCACATCCGGAGGAGACAGAGTAGTTGGCACTTGAGTAGAGTCACATGGTGGTGGTTGTGATTGGTTTCGGCAACTATAAACCTGAAGAGACAGTGAAGAAGAAGCTGACTGCGAAGTAGAAACTAATGGTGAAGAAGACACAGTTAGAGGGTCACAAACAACAGGAACATTAAATGTACTAGGAGTGTTGACAAGATTGGATGGAGAAAGAGGTGAAGATTGACTTTTAAAATAAAAAAAGAACTCATCAAAGGTGACATCTTCAGACACAAAATAACGGTTAAGAGAAGGAGAAAAACATTTGTATCCTTTTTGTGATCTTGTAAACCCTAAGAAAACACATTTATGTGATCTAGGAGAAAGCTTGTCAAGACCAGAACTGAAATTATGAACAAAACATGTAGACCCGAAAACTTTTAGAGGTAAGGGATGAAGTGGTTCATGAGGGAATAAAATGGAATAAGGTATTTTATTATCTAAAACCGAAGATGACATGCGATTAACAAGATAACATGCAGTAAGAAGAGCATCACCCCAAAAATGCTGAGGAACCTCTCCATGAATTAAAAAGAGTGCGAGTTGTTTCAATAAGATGTCTATTTTTACGTTCAGCTACACCATTTTGTTGAGGTGTATAAGCACAAGAAGTTTGATGTAAAATACCATGAGAAGCCATGAATTGTTTAAAAGAATGAGAAAGATATTCACGACCATTATCACTACGCAAAACTCTAATAGAAACACCGAACTGAGTTTGAATTTCATTGAAAAAAGTTTGAAATATATGAAATAATTCAGAACGATTTTTCATCAAAAATAACCAAGTGCATCTGGAATAATCATCAATGAAAGTAACAAAGTATTGAAAACCTAAAGTAGACTTAACGCGGCTAGGTCCCCAAATGTCAGAGTGAACCACGGCAAAAGGGGACGAAGCACCACGTGTGACACTACGAGGAAAGGAAGTACGACTATGCTTGCCTAATTGACACGACTCACATGCCAAACTAGACAATTTAGATAAGGCAGAGACAAGTTGCTGTAACTTGGCAAGACTTGGATGACCTAACTGAGCATGGAGAAGAGAGGGAGACTCTATAACTGCACCAACATGTGTAAAGGGACGAAGATGATAAAGACCATGAGACTCACATCCTGTGCCAATCACCTGTTTCGAACTTCGGTCCTATAAACACACAGAATTATTGGTAAAAGAAACAACACAATCAAGAGAACGAGTTAGACGACTGATGGATAACAGGTTAAAAGGAGACTCAGGGACATAAAGAACATTATCAATGGTTAAAGAAGGGAAAAGTTTAACAGTTCCAACACCATGAGATGATACTCTAGAGCCATCAGCTAGTATAACAAAAGGTAAAGGATCAGGAGAGGATAAAGAGGAGAACAAAGATTTGTTACCAGTAATATGATCAGTGGCTCCTGAATCAAAAACCCAAGGATCAAAAGAAGATTGGGTCAGACCAGCAAAAGATGTACCTGTGTGTGCGACAGACACAGTGGAACTAGAAGACTGTTGATCCTTATACCATTTGAGAAATTTGTTGAACATAGCAGGTGTGTCTGATAAAATAGAAGGAGAATCCTTAGCAGATAAAGGTGGGGAAAGATCAGTCTGAGCAACTGTAGCAGATCGAGGAGGACGACCATGTAATGCATAACACTTGTCAATCTTGTGACCTAGTTTGCCACAATGTTCACACTCATGTAATGCATAACACTGGTCAATCTTATGACCTAGCTTGCCACAATGTTCACACTTAGGACATCTTTTTCCCTGTTTGCGAGAGCAAGTTCGGTCATCACGGTGAGATACCAATGCAGAAACAGGTGTGTCAGGGTTGGGTTTTGCTGGTATACGCAAAAGAGTGGAGCAGGTTGATGTCAAGGTGGAGACAACCGGAGAACCCAAAATCTGATCACGAATATGTGAATATTGATCAGCAAGTCCGTGTAATGCCCCTAACATGAAGAACTTTGATCGTTGTCCTATCTCGGTGGCAGGGTCAGGGGAAGGAGGCAATAACTCATTGAACTCATGAAAAAGAGCATGAATTTTGCCCATATAATCAGTCATAGAATCTTGATGTTTAGAGGCAATAACATTTACAAATTTAGAACAGACATCATAGAGACGTTGAGTATCATTGGTGTATAATAACTTGGCATGTTCCTAGATTTTGGCACATGTTTCGTGGAAACGAAAAATTTGTTTTAACGAAGGATCAAGAGTACCCTTGAGAACCACACATAATTGAGCATCAATGGTGTCCCAATGGTCTTCCTCACCAGGAGTGAGAGTAGGTGCTTTCGGGGCGAGATGATCAAAATACTTCTGACTCTTAAGCCATAATCTGACGTTTGATGACCATGTGGCATAATTAGGGTTAGTTAACTTGTCAATGGATAAATGCACATTAAAATAGTTAGTGTAGATGAAAGGATCAGACGCAATACTGACAGAATTGGAAGTACTAAAAGGAGTGGAAGAAGTCATAAAGGGCAGAGGTGTGAACCAGTACACCAGGTAAGTTCCCAGGAAAGAGAGGTGGGTCACTAATGGACATGTACTTTCACACTACCAAATAACCGACAGCAATAGCGGCGGTGGTGATGACTTCAATAGTGGTCAAAGGCGAAAAAAAATTTCAAAATAACCTGGCTCTAATACCATGTTGAATATAGAAGAAATAGAGTTTGGGATTAATCTCCCTTGTGTATAAATCACACATAGGGTAGTCTATTTATAGTAGAGAGATACAACTAAAAGAGTAACTGAAAGTAACAAAATAAACAGAAGATATTGTTTGATATTGTGGTTAACAATATCTTAACAATATCAAATAATATCTAAACAATATCTAACACTAACAATACCTTCATGCCAAGACGATGTAGGTGACCCAAAATGAACATAGGATAAACTTAGGTACTATTTTAGAATTTAGGTACTGTCCAAGCATGATAAAAATAGTGCACAGGGCAAGCTAATTCTATGCACATGACTAAATAAAGTTTTTCTATGCTATTTGTATAGTGTTTATAATTTGTCATGCATGCAAGTTCTTTTATTGTCTTTCCCGCATATCATGTACTTCTCAGTGTAGTAGAAAAGGGATTGAAGGCTATAGCAATGGCAACATCTTCTCTCACTTGATATGGAAATACATCCTTGTTAAATAGCAATTTAGTTATATTAATGGGATAAAGCAGAAAAAATTCTAATTGATTATTATTACGTGCTACAGGTGCGTTCTGATATCATGCTTGGAATTCCAAAGCACGAGGAAGCACCATCAACTCCACAACGTCCTCTTTCAGCAATGGGAGAGGCTTGTTCAAGAATGGACCTAACTGCAATACATCAGATCTTGGTTGCGACACACTACAGAGACGATGAAGGAACTAATGAGGTAACTGATGGGTGCAGTGGTTTTAAATTACTATTTTGGGTTAAATGATATTGTCATAAGGTTTGAATTTGGATTGGTTCAGCTGTCGTTCCAAGAGTGGACTCAACAGATGAGAGATATGCTGGAGGCAAGGAAGCGTGGAGACTATGCATTCCGTGACAAAGACTTCAAGACAGCCATTGATAACTACTCCCAGGTGCAATTTAGCACTTTTTCTGGCATTGCAAATGATTGTTGCTTTGCAATGTTTATGCTAATTATTGAGCTGCTTCTCCATTGTTCTATTCATGCAGTTTATTGATGTGGGAACGATGGTCTCCCCAACTGTTTTTGCAAGACGCAGTCTATGCTATCTGTTATGTGATCAACCAGATCCTGCGCTACGCGATGCAATGCAAGCACAGTGTGTTTATCCGGACTGGCCAACGGCTTTCTACATGCAATCAGTTGCTCTTGCAAAGCTGGACATGCACAAGGATGCTGCTGATATGTTAAATGAGGCAGCTGCATTGGAAGAGAAGAGACAAAGAGGAGCGAGAGGATCATAATTTTATGCAGTGGGCTAATTCGAGGGTGCTAAGTTCTGTATAAAGGTTGAGCTGGGAAGCAAAACTAACGTTTGAATCTGAGTTTAAGATGTGTCAGAGAAATACAACACCGGTGGAGTAGATGGCACGCGCACTTTATTTCACCATCTTATAGGAATCAGTCACAACTTGAAAACTGTGCTTATGCACTCTGAATTGGGAAGGAATACCGGTAATTTTTGCATTGTTAATGAAATTGATTGTTTGATGCCTACTGGGTTACTGTCAACCACGTGTTTTTATTGAGGTTATTCTAACTCCTCACTGGTCAAGGCCACGGTGTTCATAATATTGTTATGTCTGCATAATCTACATGGAGTACTAGTAATACATATGCAATCTCTCTACAACGTCTTTTATTATTACATTTTTTTTTTTTGGGTATACATTCTGCTTAAATCATTCCATGATTAATAATGATAGTTTATAATACTGCACACACGCATGATAATTGAGAGTTGGTGCAATTAGGTTACGACAGCTTGTGTTACTTCAACCAATACGCCTTAATACGCCTTAATTAACTTAATACATCCTTTATCGTAAACACTTTCTAATATATCATTCTGGTAAAGCAATTCAAAAGGAAAATGTTTTATCACCGACTACAAAGGTAAACTGCACAGGATTTTTTAGGGTTAATTTCTTCTTTTTATATTTGGGTTCTGCGTTAAATATTTAGAATCAGAGAGGATCTTTGTTAATCATAGTTTTACCTACTGAATTACTCATAGTTATGTTTGCCTCAAATAAAAATGTTATACACATAAATAAACAAGAAAAAAAAAATTATAATGGCTTCAATTACATAGATTGATTTTGTCTACGTAGGTTGGCTTCAAATTACATGGACTGGTTTTGTTCATGTAGGTTTCTGTACACGGTGAAGCATCAATGTTTACAGATTGGTTGGTTCTTAAGGAATAATAAATAAAAAAAAAGAACTAATCAACATAAATCAGATTGTTCTAATTACAACAAGGGAGAAGGAGTGTGAGAGAGAGAGAGAAACCAACTTCACCCTGAAGAGATTGGTTTGTTTTTGGGTTCATGTCATGAAGTTGTTTTCCATTCTTTAGTTTTTGGTTAATGAAGTTGCTCCAAACCAATAAATCCCAACCTTTTTTGTAATTTGTATCTACTTCTGACTTGATTGTCATTGAAGAATCATCTAACGCATCTTAAATTTTTAAGTACGTTTTTTCAAAAAAACTTTAAACTAAACAGCTCCTGTTGTAGATCCACAATTGAGGCCGGTCATTTGGAATCCACCTAGTCCATGCACCTACCCATGCAAACTCAACCATTCTACATATACATAAAAAGAAAAGTTAAAAACTGCAAGTTACAAATTGTGTAAATTAACTTCTTGAAAGTCTTTGGTACGTGCCAATAATATAAAATGATAAAAATAGATATGCTTACATGATATTTTATATATGTTTCAATTTTATTTTATGGATCAAATATAATTTAGGGTAATTATAATTTTTGGATTTGTTTGGGAAAATTTTAGTGGTAACTTCCAAAATTTTCATTTAATTTTAAAAAACAGTTCATTTTATATTTTTTGGTTTTAAAATAAACTCATTTTGAAGGCTCCGTATTATATTAAAGAGTGTTAATAACAAATATATCAAAAGTTGTAATAATGCCACTTCATGATGAGAACCATAAAAGAAATAGTCTCTTCAAAAAATAGAATAAACAAGAAAAATAGTCAATATCAAAAATAGTCTCTTCAATTTTCTTCAATCTTTTTGTCACCCAAAAACATATATGAGACTATAATTATCAGCTGAAGTGTGTCATCCTTAGTGGCAAGTGCCTGAAGTCCACAGACCTAAACAACCCAAATAGAGGAAATAAATAAAAATTAGTTTCACTTCAAATTGGTCATTGCCCCAAGCCCAACATGGCTATTTCTACTGCATCCACCCTTTATAGGCTACCTTCTGAGCCTAAACAAAACATGGAAAATTATTAAAAAGCGGAAAAAAAAAAAAAACCTAGAGGGGTCATCTGTCGTTACTTTTTTTAATTATTGTTTATAATCATTGCATTACCCCTTGTAATCATATCTAATTAATCTTTAATTAATAGCAAAGATGATGGAGTGATTCTTGAAATGGTGACTTCACACGTTAGAATCCGCTTATTGCACTTCCACCTAAAAAAATATTTATATACTAAAATTATAATAAAAAAATTATAATTTTGTATGTTATATTATTAATATATATATATATATATTATAATATTATAATTTAAATTATAAAAATTTATTAATTAAATTTAAATTATTAATTATAATTAGTTATTTTAACATACAAATATAATAAAATTTTTAATTTATCTAATTAAATATTAATTAATACATAAAGATTTAAAAATTATAACATAATTAAATATATATTTTAAAAAAATTACATAAAATAATTATTAACATGTTAAAAATCTCAACTTATTTTTAACCTATTAGAGGTGAGACGGAATAAAATTGGGAAAACCCCATTTTGCATGAGACAATTTTCAACTCCAACCCTCTGTTCAGTGGAGAAGAGGACGACAGCCAGGAGAGTGAAAATTATTATTGGTTGTTTGGTGAGGAGAATGGGACAGAATTAAAATAAAATACTTTTCTATATGTCTATATTTTGTTGTATAAAATGACATGTATAATGAATATTGTATCAGTAAATTAATTTATCTGCTATCAAATTACACAATTGTGGGAATCATGTTATCTTTTGATAGTTAACATGTGAGTCGAGGATGATGATAAAAGCAAGATGCCTGGTCTTCAGAGGCTGATTTGAATGAAGATGGAGTTGTGACAAAATCTGAAAACAATCTGATTTCAAATTAACAATAAATGAGTGGAATAGAGACACAGTGGTTTTAAGAATTCAGTGTTCCATGTACTGCTAAAAGGAAACCACATTGGACATTTTTTTATGATTCATTTAAGAAAAGTGTGGTTAATTTTGGAAGCATATAATTTAAGCAATAATGAACAGTGAGTGGATGTTGATGGAATGATGCATGAGAAACACGTGCTGCTGTGATTTCCCAATTAATGCTTCTGAAAAAGCAGCTTCTGGTTGGTAATAAGAAATTGAGTGAATATACATATGCAGGTACACCACCAATAACTCCATCATATCATAAATATTTAAATAAAAAGAGTGTTATTGTTTGACGCATGCACCACTTCGCTGCCTTTTATTTTAAGGCACATGCCATCTTTTTTACGTGCATATGTACCATTCATTATATTCCTACCTATCTACACCTATATATATATATATATATATATATATATATATATATATATATATATATATATATATATATATATATATATATATATATATATTACACCTCACATTTAAGCTTCAACTCTTCTTCCATTGTATGAATTAATGAATGAATGAATGAATTCAGTTCATGCATGCAAAATTGTGTTAATTACAGATTTTCTAATCAATAATACATATTAAAAGTTATCATTGATTTACAATATTATCATTTAGCGACCGAAAAAATCGGTCGCTAATGTCAAAAAATCGGTCGCTAATTAGTTAGCGACCGAAAGGCGTCGTCGCAAAAAGCCAAGTAGCTAATGTGTTAGCGACCAATTTTTATTTCGGTCGCAAAATAGCGACCGATTTTATTTCAGTAGCAAAATAACGACCGAAATTAATATATCAAATTGGTCGCTAAAGTGGTGAGAAAGTATAAAAAATAGCGACCGATTTAAATCGATTGCTAAATCAATAACAAAGTAAAAAAATAGCGACCGATTTAAATCGGTCGCTAAATCAATAACAAAGTTAAAAAAATAGCGACCGATTTAAATCGGTCGCTAAATTAATAACAAAGTTAATTATTTTTATTTATTTACATTTTTAATTATATGAAGTTCATTAGACAACTTTTTTTCTCCAATTGGACACAATTGTATTACATAATGAATGCTTAGTAGTTAGTAGTTAAGATGCATTCTCATCCATGAAATGTGGACCAATTTGTCATAAACTTAAGATTTGAGAAACATTTGCAAATTGAAATTGCCAACTACTAAAAGATTTCTCATTGCCAAGTACTACTAAATGAAACTGTTACACTTAAACACTGTTATACACATAATTGCCTTTTTTTATATGGTAACTCTAGCACAACCTTAAGAGGGTGTCAATATTGTTTTCTGTGGACTTAAGACTATATTTCAATTGTAGAAAATGCATATATACCAAGAAAGGGTGAGACACAATAAAGGTGAACAAAAAAAAAAAATAGTATCATAGTAATGATACATTTCCCTTCATAAAACTAAATTGTAATGTCGCTTCTTTTGTGGTGTTGAATGTGCTTGTGCTTTGATCCTATATGTCTTCAATTGAAAATTTTCAAAAGCCTCTGAAATTGTCTGCACCTATAGGATTGCACAAAGCAATATATTAGTGAATCCAACCTGAATGGGTAAAGGAAAGAAGTTTAAACATGCACAGGATAACTAACCAGTTCAGCCTTTTTGGAGTACACCTTAACTATCATATCTTGGTAAGATATAGGTAGCAAGTGACTTACACGGTCATCGGGTATTGTAAATTTCTCATTGCTTTCATAATCCCGAATGCATTATTGAAACTAGGTAACTCAATACAACCTAGCATAATTTAATTCCAAACTAAGCACCAATAATCGGGCCAAACTAAACCACTTTAAATATTTCAATAATTTTGAACAATTGCAGCCCAAGTATCCCAACGAAGTAATATAAAACAGTTTAAACTAAAACTTATTAGCAATGAAACTGTCAAATTTCATAAGGTAAGATGTTTAATAGTGCAAAAAAAGATATAATCCACTAATACAATATAGACACGAGCAAAACCAATTAATATATAAGAAGATTAAAGAAATATCTTGATGAAAGATAGTTAGGTAGGTTTGGC